AAGTTCCATGCAACCAAATTATAGCTCATTATGATGTGCATATGTGAATGCCCAAAATTGGAAATAAATGCTGGTATTGCACCCATGTCTGTGTTGTTATTATTACCAGATCAGCATTCCAATTCTTCGTCCTATCATGAGAGATTTGTTGGCCCAGGGAATAATTGTAAAAACTACTAAAATTGCACCAAAGATGCACCATTTTAGATGTGTTCAAAGCATCATGAGGCACGTACTTCAGGTTGTCATGCAGGGAGTGACAGAACACTGGATTACTGTAATCTTGATCAAGTATTTTGTTTTTGTTATGGATAACAATGTTGTAAAACTTGTCTAGATTCTGTTTAAGACATCTGGCTGATGTAGTGAATGAAATGTGTGATGAGCAGACAGGTTTAAAATTCTAACATAAGAATAAATTGATAAAACTTTAATTAAAATATAACAGATAACATGCACATTTGACTCTGAGTGTAAATAGAAGAATGGATTCTGTTATAAAAACTGCACACTCTCTAGAGAACTTAACAGCTGTTTGATGTCCAAGGTTGTCATTTTCTGGATATATTTTAATATGCTAGACAATATTATACAGTAGAGATATTTTAAATCACAGTCCTCTTTTGGTAAGTTGAATTCCATGTAAAGCAATTTAACATAGTAAATATTAACATATATTAAAAATATATCAAAATCAAAAATAGTCATTTGCATTTTGATCTTAGCAAGATGAACTATATTAGTTAAAATATAAGGACGGAATAATGTTTCTGTGGCAATGGTATTTCCACATGCATCCAATTTCAAGTTACTGGTATCACCTCTGCTTGACATTCAGACACAGTTGTAAAAACTAATATGACTGAAAATATATGATACACCCTTACTTCATTTGCAGACCAGCTGACAAATAAAATAAAAGAGTACCAATGTACATACTCTGATGGTTAAGTGAATATTTTTAAACAAATTTTAATCTATTCGTAGAAAGGTAATAATAATAATATAAAGGGAGGAAATCAATTAGAAAAAAATGTTTAAAAATAGAAAACTACAATGCTCCTTCAAAAATCTAAATACAGAGCACTTTTCCAAATAAATGTACCATGTACAAATTACACAGCTTGACAGAAAAACCTGATAGCTTTTTCAATGATCTAAATACAGCACTTTTCCAAATAAATGTTCCATGTACATATTACACAGCTTGTTTAGCAGACAGAAAAGCATGATAGTTCAATACATCATCTCATGTTTCTACATGTTGGAATACAGCTTCCATTTTTCTGTGGTTGGCTGCTTTGATGGTGTAACTGTAGAATCTTTATTTGCTGTCAGGAGCAGTTTGACTGTCTTTCTCTGTAGACTTTGCACTGGTGTCAGTTGGCTGTTCTGCTGTGGAACTTGATGACTCACTGGGAACTGGCTGTGTATCTTCAGCAGGCTGCGGGGGTGATGACCCAGCTAAAGGAGATATTGGTTTGGACTGGTCTGAAGGTGGTCTTGCTAGTGGAGATATCGGCCTTGATTGGGTTGATGTTGGCCTGGCCAAGGGAGACATTGGTCTGGATTGGGCTGATGATGGTCTGCCTCCTTGCCTGCCTTGTCTTTCCAACTCTGGTCTCCCACCTACTGTTACCCCACTGCTGGGTCTGGACCCTCCACTGCCAGGTCTGGATGCCCGACTGCCAGGTCTGGAGGCTGCACTGCCAGGCCTGGATGCTGCACTGCCAGGTCTGGAGGCTGCACTGCCAGGTCTGGATGCTGCACTGCCAGGTCTGGACCCTCCACTGCCAGGTCTGGATACTGCACTACCGGGTCTGGAACCTGTACTACCAGACCCACTTTGGGTGTTAGCTGTCCCTGCTCTGTCATAAAGAAGAGTTTGTTTACTAACCACTTAAATGACTGAGGACAGGGTGAAATACACTGCACAAAAATGAACAAATATGAGGTATCTCTTTCACAAACATGCACATGCTCACTTGTAGATGGAATTGTTTTCTTGTGTTGTTCAAAACTTTTTTCGTGAAACAATGCAATTTTAATAGTAAAAATGTCTTTAATCAACAATGAATGGTTTAAAAAGAAAGTGATATTTAGAAAAAAAAGTAAAGCCAGAAAAGAAAAAAAAGTATTGCTACAATAACAAATACATTAAGTGCAAGCAAAGCAATTTTAACTTTATGTATGAAATGCATACACTGCATAAAATTGCATCCATAAAATGAACTTAATGCAGCCAGTTTTAAGAGCAACCCTGAACACAATCAAAACACCAAGATGTATATTTTGATAAAAAAAAGAAACACTAAGCAAACATATCTCACTTGATTATGCCTTTCCTCTTTTTGTACATGTATTGCCTTGTAAAAATTAAAAATTATACACAATGCATTTACATTATAGAAGACAAAATGAACATGCTTACATGTGAAGTCTTTAAAATTTTGCCTTACATCTACAAATGCATTACTTACATTTAACTTACACCTCCTTTTCTCAATATATCAAGTTCCATGCCTGCTTGATATGACAAAACCTACCTGGACAAGCTTGGGACTCCATCTAACATCTCAGAGAGATTCAAGGAAACATCATCTCCAAGGATATCTGACAAGTTATCAGACAGCTGAAATATACACACAAAGCCACAGGTCAAGTTTACTATAAATTAATTATAACAATCTTCACTATGGTGAATAATATTCTCATGCAATCATCATATAATATTTTGTGATATTATTTTCTATGAAAGTTATGTATATGATATATACATAAAAACATGGCTGTCTGTGATTTCACTTCTTAGGTACCTTTACTTAAATTTGTTCGCTAAAAATATAGATACTCATATTAAGTGTGCCCATTAGTTCAATAACAATAAGGAAATAATTAACTTACAAATCCCCTGTTCACATTTCCCTGCCGAGACAGTGGGTGTTCTTTGGTCCAGCTATCTACTTGATTCATGTAGTCCTCGTCATTTTGCTCAGCTAGGCTCATGTTACCAAAGGATATGGCAGTCTGAGGGCGATATTCTTTGTCTGGGCCCAGGAGACGTTCTGGATACATGTCTTCGTAGTAACCATCATCAACTTAATAAGAAAAAATTGTAAGTAAATTTCTGTAACATTTTTTTACGTTTTAATTTTTTTTCCTTCTTGTATAAAACCATATTGAAGAATATATATCAACATTATCAAACTTTGTCACTTCAAACTCAGAATTTTATATCTCTACATTTGGATGAAAAAGTGTTTTTATCATGCATGAAATTCTCTGTTTTCATGGTTATTAGAAGTATGTTGATCACAAGCCCCACAAGTTGTCATCTTTTCTCTTTTTGCTTCACAACATATAGCCCTACCTTGCACATCTTTCTTCTCAGATGCATCTGTCCAAATTCTCTTTGCTTGATGACTAGTCAACCTATCCTTCTGTATCTTTTCTTGGCGGCCATTTAGAAATAATCCTAATGAAAAGAAAACACATTTTTAAATTTAAACCCGACACTGCATGAAATCTTTTATAATTCAAATACTTATAATTGGGCTCGACATTAAAAAACAGGCATACTAATTGTAGCTTAATTCTACTTAGTTAATCAGACGAGATTAAAATAATTTTAATTTATCTCTTAACATTAAGCTTACCAAGACAATACATCTTCAACAGCAGTCTCCTCTTCAGAGGTGACAACAAGATGAAGTCGTACTCTCTCTGTGCCAAACGCCGTACAAACATTGGCATCATCTTCATCAGCTCTCCTGCTGTCTGGCGAATGGAACCCTTGACACTATCTACATTCAAAAAAAGAAAGCACCATTTTCAGAATGTTACATTATCTTCAATCATTAATGAACATTTTAAAAAAGTATTTTAACAACTTTAAAACTGGCCTATATTTAAATTAACTGGATATCACCTAGTAGACAAAATAATAAATTTTTACACAAAATTTTTTCTCAGTCAATATATTTTGAGTTCTCATCATGAGGTTCTTCCATTTACATACCAGCAAACACAGAATGAGGCGCCACCTGGGAGTGTGCCTCTATCAACTCATCCAGCAGGTCCCACAGTGTTGCATGTATGGGGTCTCTTAAGTACTCCGCCTCTCTGCAGTAAGCATTGATGATCTGGATTTGACGAGATAATTCATGGGCTGGTGCAAAGATTGGAGGCATTGACAAACATTTTTCTGAAAAATAAATATTAAAAATAGTAAACATTTGCAACTATTTTTCTTTGGAGAAATCTTAATTATCATATACATTGTAGTCATTATAAAGAGTATAGCAATAACTTCATCCGATGTAACAAAATTTTCTTAAATTTATTCTTTAACAGCCATTTTTAAAGTTTCTGAAATATGATATAAAACATCCTTTCCAATAAAATTCAGTATTTCAGAACTCACCCATCAACTGCCTAGCAGTTAAGATTCCTCTGGTGAATTTCCGAGTTTGTGGACTTAGTTTATCCAGCCCATGGGATGTCATTGTGGGCCACAGTGGTTCCTGTCCACAGCAAGGGCACTTGCCATACTGCTTCAGTCCCAAGTACAACAAGAACCCAATAACACAAAGTAGCCACAGTCCGTTGATGATGATCAGCATGTAAAGAACATAGGTGGGGGTGAACCAAGGTGACTGAAGAGTGGCTGGGGTGAAGGATGTAATCATGGCACCTATCAGACTGTTAAACATCAAGCAAAGGAAGCTCATGATCAGCATGAAATTAAATGCCGACACTCTGTATGGTCTCCAGAACACAAAGAAGAACAGCATTCCAAACAGAATTGATGTAGTGACCACAGCCTGCCAAAACAGGTACCTGTACAGCCCAGCATAGAGAGCCAGCAACATGAACTTGCAGATATGGAGAGCAGGACGGAAGTATACTGAAACTCTCTTGAAGGACGAGAAGATGTGAAACCCACTGACCATCCACAGCACATCAAGGCCCTGAACATACTCTGTCTCCTTCAACTGTAAATAACCTTCATGGCGATCAGCACTAGATGTCAGAATCTCTCTCTTGGTCTTCTGAATGAGCCAGGCAGGGAAGATCAGGTAGTAGACTAGAGCAAATGCTGCTGCAGGGGCAATGTACGCCCAGTGCATTCCACTGAATGCATCCAGAGTGTTGTCCACATCTACTTTGTATGTGTCAGTGTAGTGGAACAGTTTGCCAATTGTCACCCCCACTGGAATGGCTAGTATTTGCAGTATGATGATATAGACCCTCTGGAGCCTGGCCACTCTGACCAGCATATAAGGGTGCTTCTTACAGTTCAGTACTATGTAGATTACAATGAAGGTAACAATGAGCAGAAACATCAAACAGCCCCAGCCTAGCAGGATGCTCCAGAAGTCGACAGTCAAGTCGGCACTAGGAGTGTAGTAATCCTGCACATTCTTGTAGGTTTCATTACCTTGGAACTTCATAAACTCCCATATATCCCCATTGAACAGGAAGACAAAATATGTTGACTTCAGCCATGTTTCTGGCCACACCCATCTGAGTGCTGAGGACTGCAGTAAGGCAAATATCTGCACATATTCTAACAATGTTATCACAGCATCATTCAAGATCAGAGATGTTCCACGCCGTTTCCCATCAGCAAAGAGAACAGTATCTTCCTCGTTTGCCTCTTCTTCCCAAATCTCATCATCACTGTGAATGTTGATGGTTGTGGTGAAGCCAGCACTTCCATGCTCCCCTCCTTTCATAGCAGTATCTGGTAACAGAGGGACAATTTCTCCCTTGTACGGCATTCTCCTAGCTGTCTTGATCCGTAGGCCTACAAGACTTTTGTTTAGTTTTCTTTCTTGAAGGTCTTAAAAACCTATTTGGTGGGAAAGTAAAATCAATCAATTGAAAATAAAGTTATGGTAAGCTACACTGATTAAAAAATAAATTTCCACTATGCACGTACATTTAATTTAACATTATACGATTACCCCGGCCTGTACCCAAGTATTTAGACTGACCCTAAATTCACTAATAATACAAAATGAAATCAAGACATTTAGATTTTAAATACTTTTGACAAATATAATGTGAAACTGTAGAGCTACTTTCATTAAAATCTTCTGCTATCTGAGACAATTAGTTTGGAAATTTCTCAACTAAATTTTAAATGTTTTACGGTAAATTTTTAAGCTCTCTGACCAATTTCACCCCAGCTCTTGAAGCCGTCAATTTTATCTCTCACAATAATTATTCAAATGTCTTGATATAATGTCATATTACATAATTTGAAAGATGGGCATTCAAACTTCCACTGAACGGATTGCTTAATCACAACAAATGCTAAAAAATGGATTATCAACGTTAATATTTCTGGATATTCCAGAGAAACCACTCACGTCGTCCGCCATGTTGTTTGTGGAATGACGTCAATGATACTTGACAACAATGTGTCGCACCTAACACATCCTTGCTGAAGATATCCGCTGTGTTTTTATCAGTACCGTAACGTACGTTCAACGTGGGAGCTCAACCCCAAAGCAGTTCAAAGAAAGCTCATAGAATTAATTCAAGTTCTTTTTTTCAATTTTTTTTATTTAACTTTTTTAAAATTTTTTTTAACGTTAGACCTGTGAATGTTGATTTTACTTTCACTAAAAGATGCCAGATATTTATTTGTGCACGGTTTTTTAAATATCAATATAGGCCGAGGCCCCTTTTAATTAAGGCTAATGCTTCCGGGTTCCTCGGGAGTTGCGCTCAATACAAATAGATATTCATTTATCACCCGAATTTAGGTCACCGTGTTATCAGACACTTTACACTATTTTTTTTTAATTTTTATGAAAAGGATATAAATATCAATATCCAAAAACTAATTTGAATGTTTTTCCTAAATAGATAGATTTGGTCATAGCAGAGTGCACGCAGAGACAGTGACAGCAAATGATGTGTGTTAAATCCATAAATGTATCTGGTTTTAACACTGGGAAAGACATTAAAAACATTTATTCACAGAATAGAATTACGAATAAATTAAACCGACATGGTTAGATATGGAAGAGAAATCCAAGTGAAAAAGACGACTCAAAGTAAAACAAAATAGGCCTACTCTTATTGATAAAGACATTGTTCTTGAACACATTCATTGTGCCCAACTATAGTCTATAGATATAGTATTTGCAAAACATGACAAAAGGGTGTATAGACAAGTTATACGAATGGACAATGGTTTGTGCAACACCTCATCGCCATAATGACTAAGTGTGTCATCAATTGCAAAAACTAACATCAGATATTAACAGACAGATTTACGACATAAATATACAACATTTTTACCAAAATAAAGATTTTCTTAACAGCATACTCTGTCAGAAAGTTAATATAAATACATGTATATTATATTGTGTAAGCGCAAATTGATATACATAAAGTGAATAGTTTTGTTTTGTTTCACCCAAGAAATGTTTTACATCTTACAAGAACGTGTATTTTTCATATCTCCTTCACATTCCACGCATCATATCGATGAAAAAATGATCACATCTTTACATCCGCATAACAAGAAAGTTTAATCTCCTGTATTCTTGGCACCTGGATCATTGGCAAATACTGACTTGACGAAGACATCGGTATACAAGTTACTGGAAAATGTCTGTGCACGGTTTCGCGCAAAAAACATACCCCATTCTTCCATTAAAATTACAATTCTCAAACTATCACACGTATTTCAGCGTCTTTCCGATGCATTAGTTGATGGTCCCTGCTGTATGATTGCGATTGTCTTTTTACATTGATTTGTCGGATTTATCGCTGAGACATTTCGCCATAAAATTATTCAAAATACAAGGCGTAAACGATCCCAACGGCATATAAAGATGCATTTTTAAAAGTATATTCTGCATATGTGTCATATTTTTCGTTCCAGATACATTGACTAGCCACCGCCACAGACGATTTGTCAACTTGTCCAATAGTGACTGCACATACCAACTTAAATCTTGAGTATCCCAATTTTTTCACTCTGTTCTTTATTTGTTGTGCCAGTTCTCTCGCTTTTCCATTGCAAGTTTTGGCGTTATATTCTACATCTTGTAAACCGACTTCCAGAATTTCTTTAATCAAATTCTTTGCTTTTCCTACTGGAAACTGATCATCGGGCTCCATTTTGTACGTGTTCTCAAATTTTACTGTAGGTTGTTTTGTCGCTTGACTGCGCTGGGTCGATGCGGACATCAAGCCTTGGACTGCATTTAAGAACTTGGCCATTTTGTTCGGTGTCCAAAGGCTGGAAAATAAATAAATGATATAACGTCATAGATACACATAGGGCGTATATGATATACTCATATGACCTGCTGTCAATTTTAGACACTCAACATTTTCTCTCTCTCTCTCTCTCTCTTTTTAATTACACACAGACGTCACGGACGGCCATATTTTCACTGTAATCTTCAACAGTATTTGATCTTGATGTTGTCGAAATGTATCATCTGTATGATGAAGTTCTGATCATCATATACCTACAAACTGCGCACTTTATCACAATCGGATTAATTACTAGTTGTAAAGGCTTCAAAGTGTTGATCCAAAGTACCCAGAGATTGGTTTTGACATTTAACTTTTACAGCAATCAATATCGTCCATTGTGATGGCTTATTTCATCCCAACTACTTACAAATTGCATCACCAAACAGAGAAAATGCGTTTCTATTTCCATTTAAACGCTTCATATTTTTTTTCGTATGAAGGTACGTGTGTAATCGTATTTTGTAAAATCCCAAAAGCTAGTACTTACAAAATCCGTCAGTAAATATCAAATTATATTAGATACAGAACAAGTCTGGTGCTTAAAACGGATCGATTTTGTGAATTAACAATAGTAATCAGCTCCGGGAAAATATTATGATAACGCGCAGTTCCAAAGACAATCCGTAGAAATCGAATTTCATAGTGTAATAAAAGGACAAGCCCCACGGATGTATACACGCTGTCATGGATACGCAGTTTTAGCCCAAGTGTATTTATGTGTTCACATGAAAGGCACTTGAAGAGTCTGGCAAAGACGACGGCATTTTCACTTCGTTTTTGGCACAGCATGAACAATTTTGCTATTTGTGGTACCTGTATCTTGGTGGCATAATCTAACGGCCAGGTGCAGTAAAGTCTTACTCAGTCCCCTCACTGATAACTGCTTGATATTAATATCTGTTTAAAAACCCAGTCTAGACTCGTTACATCTCCCAATAGTCAGAAATATTTAATTAAATCTGCTAGATCGGATTCCAGAATTTCATACATCTACAACTCACTGCTACATAAATACGCTCCAACACATTTGGACTTACCTTGAATAATAATTAAAGACGTTTAGCGTTGTTAGTTGAACACAGGACAGCCTCACTATCAGCCGGCTGTGTTGTCACAATTTTTACTGAAAATTGACAGGTAGATGATAACGTTATGTGTCTGTCTACCTGGTCACAAGATAGTAGTCTCGTAGTTCCTGACCCTAGGATGTGCGTTCCCTGGCGACAACCAAGCAACGATCAGTTTATATAGGGGGTGGAAGAGGGGAAACAATTTATCAAGAAAGTCCTCATTTTCGGTGCGTTCTAGCTTAATGCATAGTAACAGAGTAACAGAGTGATTAGTTCAATGCTATGTAATCGACAATCTAAGTCATCTATAAGAATCATCAAATCACTCTTAGTATTTGTTTTTACCTTTCTCCCGATGGTCGTGTGGAGCTTGAATCCAAATTAGCGTTTCCTCAGTTCGTTTATAATATCTCGTTCTCCCGGTTGAAAGGTCTTTAGAATAACAAATTCCGCACGGGAAGTATAACGCTTTGTCTCTCTCTGTTATTCCTGTTTCATAATAGCGTGCATAAATAACCCTTGTTTGTGTTCGTTCCCCGCGCTTTTCATTAGACTCATGCAAGTGCAACGACAAAGAATCAAATTCGGATTAGGATGAGGCCATTCTCTTTATTCTTATAAGGTGCCATAAAAATAGAAACCCAGATTTCAGTTCTATTGTTATGCATTTCTGGTGGAGTTCAAACTCTAAAAAGATTGAAGTGGTCTCTAAATATGAGGTTTGCTGTTCGACTTCGTGCATTTATTTGACATTTAAAGTTGGATTTTCCGCCACATTTTGATGAGCAAACGGGATATTAAAATGCCGACACATACTTGATATTTAAGTGCAATTATAACCAAATGTATAGCTTTTAAATAATTTTGTAGAAATAGGAATAAAAGTAAACATTTGATATATGCACTCTAAAATATAGTAAACGGCAATTATAAGGCGTTTTTCTTTCGCTATGCGAGTTGTGCAAAATGAGTCCAATCCTTTTACTTTGCTTTTGATATCACATTTCATATAAATGTCAAAAACAGATGTCAGTAAGACAAATTACTGGTCCTTTTTCATATTTTGTTTACATATTTCATAATTTTACAAATGAAAACAAATTCCATCACCCTTTTTGATGCTCCCTATAAAGATAAAGTTCCACACAGTTAAACCAAGTTAATCCCTTCGCTGGGGAAAGCAAAAGAACTAATGAAAATGCGAACAGGAGCAATTCAGATAATTTAGAACTGGGTCAGAAAAATGTACTCTTGCTTAGAATGAATACTGTTCCGTTTCATTTTTCAGAAGATCTTACAATAATGGAAGATGACTTTTTTAATTACATTTTATTATCACTCTCTTTTACCACATTCAAAGCACTCCAAATATTTCATTAAAAGAAATAATAAATTAAATTATAAAACATACAAATATATCTTATTGTCAAGTTTTCTTAAACAATCATGTAAAAGTGATTTACAATTTTTGTGGTGATATCCGTATCTCAAGAAAGCACAAATGTCTAAAATATATTTATTTTAAATTCTTAATTTTTGTTTAAAGAAACTTAAAAAGTATAGACATACAAACTATGCATTCTTCAACAAATATCGATACAAAGAATACAAAACCTGCATCCACTAAAAAATTTTCAAAATGTCCCAATCTGAGTTTGACAAATAAAAAATGATAATAAAAATAATAAAAATAAAAATCATTTTCAAACGATTATGTTTGAAGTCTAGAAACAGTGCAGTATGCTTTCAGACACTGCTATCGCCTGTTGAATATTCTTTGTACAACAGGTGCTGACTTCCCAGGCACCATCCCTGGGTTATTTCCCTGGGGTCCACAGGGGTTCCCCCCCTGAGGCCAGCCTCGTGTTACCTGCTGCTGTTGGTTGTACCGGATATTAGGGGCAGTAATCACTGCAAGAGGAGAACACCAAACATGAGCACAGTTCCCACCTATTGGCTAAAGTAAAATATTTCTTCAAAGATTAACTAGGAATCATTTTAATATCAATGCTTAAATATGTTATGAGGAAGTGACTGACCTAAGTTTCCAGTATTGTCCTCCCTGGAGATATGTCTGGGGTCAGCAGATTGTGCTCTCCCACTCTGCTGAGGTGGTTCTGTACCACGAGTGGGTAGCATATACTGAAAAAAAAAACACATTTAATTGTTTTATTTCATGTTAATTCTTTCGACTTAAATTCAACCTATAATGCATATACTTAAAACACCCTCCCAATTTAATCCAGAATGCTGCAGTCGTGACCAAACTACACTTCTCTGATGACATGGCAAGTTACACATGACAGGTTAAATATTGTTAGAATTTAATATTACCTGCTTCTGTGGCTGTAACTTCTGCTGCTGCTGCTGCTGCTGTGGTCCATGCTGTTGTTGCCTCTGTGCCATAAAATACTGCTGTCTTTGCTGATACCAGTGTGCTTGCTGGAACGGATTCTGTTGATGTTGGTGTACCACTCCATGCTGGTGCTGCTGTTGCTGCTGCTGTGGGGAACCTTGATGATAATGTCGCTGGTTCCTCTGCTGCTGGTACTGTTGGTTCTGTGGGAATTGCTGTGCTTGCGGAGGGAGGTTATAAAACTCTCTGCCTGGAGACTGATGGATTTGCCTGGGCACCTGATTGTAGGCCTTCACAGATGGAAATGGATAAAAGTATTAGATTCTTCACATAAAATATGCATCCTAAATTGATATTTTTAAATACATAATCTGAGGTCAGAATGTAATGATCAAATGGTCAGCTACCATAGAATACAGCTTTAGGTCAATGACAATGACACCTCTGTTACATAGAATTTTCCTCTTTTACCATCTCTTCTTTTTTCTTTCTCGAGTGTAAAAGTACGATAACAGTTACATAATACATGAGTTACAGAGCAAAGCCATGTGGAGAAACAATATATAACCTCTGTAAACCTACATTGTGACTAGGGTCACAATGTATTTTTGTTTTCTAATGTTTATCTTTTTATTTTTGTTTTTACATTTCCAAAGTGTCGCTCATATAACATATCTATCACTGTGCTACATGTAGAACGGTCAAAGTTATATGAATTTATTACCGGGTTAGGAGGTGAGTGCATCATGGAAGAGTTGTAGAATAGAAGTCCTCCAGGTGAGTTTTGTGTCGGAGGAGTATTTTGCTGACCTTGATAGTGACCTGCTCTTGGGATAGAAATTGGAGCAGAACCACCTAAAAATACCAACAGGATACCTTGTGACTATAATTCGGTTACAATTTAACAATGAAACGATTCACAATCTTACAGCTGCATTAATAAAATTTATGCAATGTGCCTAACCCAATTACAAAATGTCCAAATAATACCATCTAGTATAAAATATGACACATACATTTGTATGAAGAGAACAGACATACAGCAAATATCTATGTGGGGAAAATATGTCATTAATGGTTTTTACTGGTTTGAAAAAAATTGGTATCGCTTGAAAAGAAATGATATGGAAAAACTAGATTCACCCACCCCTGTTCCTGTTATTGTTGTTATTTCTTTGCTGATCATTTCTATGAGATCCGTCTTCCCCTTCTCTGTCAGCTTTCCTTTTTCTTTCCTGGCTTTCTTTTCTCTCTCTCTGTTCCCTACTCAATGTACATAAAACAGTCTGTGACATAAACATCAATTACATACACTTCATTTACACTGCATGAGGTATGCAAGTTTTGGCACTGCTGACAGTCAGGAGTACCACCAGCTGGGCTTCATGCTGCTATGATTCCCTTAATTGTTTGGACTAATGAGAGTCCACATTAACTGTGACTGTTTGTAACCACAAGCAGAGTTCAAAGTCTTCAACAACTTATTTCATGAGGCAAACAGTAATCAAATACTACCATTCCCATAATATCACTCTCACCCAACTGCTTCAAAACATGTGTATGGACATTGGCTAAAAAACCCTTTAACTGATATACCAGTGCACTTCAGCATTATAACCCATACCCCTTCACTGAAAAACTAATGACAAACACATCATACCTTTCTTTCCTATTGACAACTATGGGGCATTCTTTGGCAAAATGTCCTATTTTCCCACACACTCTACATCCTCTATCATTGGGTGGTTGGCCATCAGTCAGATAGTCAACATCAAAAAAGTAGTCCTAAACATAACATTTTAAAATTCCAAATTATGTTGTATTTAAAGAGGCTCCTTTATAATGATAGTGTATCAATACTGTTAAAAATCTTATATCAATTTCTACATCTTTACAAGGATTATTTCATGACTCTCACCTGTATAGATCTGTAAGCACGTGGGATTTCCTTAACTGGTTTTCCAAAGTGTCTTCGGCCATTGATTAATGCCTTCCGGATAAAGGTATTCACTAAAAAGTTATATGTACAAGTTCTAACCAGGTTCAAATGAAAATGCAATTTTGCAGAAAACAAATGTTCTTTGTTATTCTACATAATCTAAATAAAATTGAAAGGTAAAATGTTTTTTTTTTTTTTTTTTTTACTTTTGAGATTCAAGCTTAATATCTTCAGAATAAGTTGAAATACTTACTCTTCCTAGACAAGCCAGCCCCTAGATTGTGACTCAGATCAAAGGGATCTAAAACAAACGGTACAATTCAAAACATGCAAATTGACTTAAAACATAATTATCATTAGACTTAACCTCTAAAAGTTAACATAAATGACATTATTAATATGTAATTTTAATTAGAGTCTTTTGGTGAAGGCTTGACTGAAAACCATTAACATCTATGACAAAGATACCTTCAATAGCAATACAAGTCCCATTCCACATCTTCTCAAACCTTGTCAGAGGTTTGAGCTGCCTGATGCTGATAACATGCTCTCTAAAGTTGAATTCCTCAGTGTAGAACCTCAGCAGTCCTATCCAGAGCTCTGTCACGGACTCCCTGTTCTGCCCTGCACTGGACCAATGCTGGCTCTGGATGAAAAACAGTAAATAGGGGGTAGGTATTTCATTAAAAGAAATAAATAAATAAATAAATAAATAAATAAATAATACATAAATACATACATACATACATACATACATACATACAGTACATACATACATACATACATTCATATGGTTTTAAATTATAAGATTATGTCAAACGGAAGTTAAAACTGCATGAAGGAAATAAGAACTTTAAATGCTTAGTTTTAACAGCTTCTGCCTTCAATGTTTATAAGAATTTATTGTTATCAATATCCTAGAGTGCCCCTTAGTTATGGATGGATTCTTTTCTAAAGTAAAACTTGAACTGACAAAAAATAAAAAAATAAACAAGGCAGCAAAGCTGTNTTCTGAGTTTCTGAACATAATGAATGATTGAATCTTACAAACTGCAATGATATGAGTTTATTTCCATTTTTGACACTTTATTACACAATACACGATAACAAGTTTACCATCATTTTTACATAATCAACTAACAATGTTGTAAAGATGCAGGAAATGTCAAACAAACACTTTTACGTATCTTATTAATTAAATAATCAGACTGTTAACATGCCTAAGAATTGAATCTGAAGAAATGTGAAAAAAACAGCATAACTTATAAAATAATGGCTTGATTATGCTGATTTGCGAACTTGACCTGCGTTTTAGTAAGATTGATTATTCCTGTGAGTTTCATGACAACAGGCCTATCGGTTTTCTTTGAAATGTGTTAACAGTGTTGCATATATGCTGAAAAGTGAAAAAACAGCATAAATTCTACAATAATGGCCCGATCATGCTGATTTTCAAACTTGACCTGCGTTTTATGAATATTTATCAGCTCTGTAAATATAGAGCCAAAAAGTAAAACTGTCTTCCACTTATGGTGTTAACGCTGAAAGTGCACGGCGACGGCGACATCGACGGCGACAGACGCAGGTGATGGCAATATGTACAGACACATCTGTGTCTGTACATAAAAATGGTATGATCAAGTATATGAAGTTTCATTAGTATCTCTTGAAAACAGCCCATGAAACTCCTTCACAAATATTCTGTCTGCTCTGGTAACCTTTATATGTATGATGGAATATAGCATCTCAAGAATAACTGCCAATATCTCCCATTTAAAAATTGTCACAAAACCTACCAAAGTTCTGTGGCTGACATTCTGGAAGAACCAAGCATTACAGCCATCCACTATAACCTCAGGCTTACTGGTACTGGGATCATACATCTGAGAAAAAAGATGAAATTTTACTGAGCTCAAATAGGATCCAAAGTCTAAATTCCAATATCCAAGTTATATAGTGTAGTTTAAGCAAAGAAGAAAAAGTACTAATGCCACATTTACCAAATCTTTACAAACTAACTGAAAGCAGCCACAGATGCTCAAAAGAGTGCCGACACAGACACAAAATATTTCTGAAGTAAAGATTTTTTTCACTCTTATGCACACATGATCCCCACCTCTTGCAGCACAGGTATGACTGGTGGCTTTCTTTGCTGTAGAAAATACAGGACCATCAAGACATAGGCATAGGAAGAGAGGCTCCCCCTGCTGGCATCACCTATATCACAGATCTGAAACAATGACAGGACAATGAAAGGCTTCCCCTGCTAGACAGTTAGAATTACACACTATATTCTATACACCACCAACCCTAACAGAGTTAAATACCACATAGTACAGAGTTAAAAGAAAATGCCACATACACATTTTTTATCATGAAATCATATGCATAACAAACATTTGTTTTGTGTCTCACAAAACAAATGGTACTTAACTTTGAAATCCACAATTTTTTGTGAAGAGTTAGTTAATGCTAGTTCCAAAATCAATACATCTTTTGGTTACATTTATAAAAAAAGCAGGGGCAGATCTAGAAATATTTTCTGACAGTCATCCAAATTATCTTTGTTGATCCATCCTCTATTTTTGACCGTCTTCCCACAGAAAAAATTTGATACCCATCAATGTAAACTTGAAAATCTGACCGTCTTCCAGAAGACCCAGAAGACAGTTTCAATCTGCCCCTGAAAAGGTAACACTTGTAATAAAAATGAAAAGCCTAACATGCTTTGGATGTGGCCCGAGGCACAGAGTTAACAGCAGGTCCCATACCTTTGCAAAGACCTTCATGACATAGCCAATAATCTTCACTCTTTCATCTAACTCAGAGTACAGCTGCAGCAGCCGGGTGTTATGCTGGGCCTGCATTGTAATTAAAGCTGATTAAAATTTTATCTTGAAAGTACACAGTGTATCATTTTACCCACGAAAAACTCTTACTTAAATTAGTTACTTTACACATTTTCCAGGGGAAAATGGTATTTTTCTCTGGGATAATTAAAATATGCTGAAGTTTTGGCTTTGAATTCAGCCATACTTTCAAACCAAGGATTTAGCAGCTACCAGTCCAGTCATTATTGGCATGGCTAGTTCAAGCAGCGAACAGTCTATCTTAAAGCTGGGCAATTTGTTTAAATTCTCTTTATCTGTTAAATTATGATCAAAAAGCATTACTTGTCCTGAAATAAATTAAACAAGATGTGGTCTACATACTTAACAAGCATTGAAAATACCACACTTTGTCATTTAAAAAAAAAAGTACATTAAAATATCAATAAAAACCTATAATCCTATTCTCATTGGTACTTAGCAACATCTATGTGTTAAAGGCACATCTACGAAATAAAAAATTTACAACACAGTCAAAGACTTTTTATTAATTCATATCAGCTGTGACAGAAAATGCAAAATCATTTTCAAAGCTCATGAATTTCCCTGTATCTAGTACACCCACTCACCAACGTATTGTACAAACTAATATCTGCCTCTAGCTGGCTCTTCCTGTGCTTGAATTTGACAATAGGGACCTTGGCAGTGGTGATGGCGATAACATTATACACGCCTCTGTGTTTCTTTAGGATCTTTGCCAAGTCCTCAATGATTTCTACACAGTTTATACCCTGAAGTTCATATAAATGACAAACTGATAACTANTTATGTGGAACGAGTTGAGATTATAGGTGACCTAAATCCATGAGATGGGTATGGGGGCCCTTACCGTCTAGGAGGAGAAGCGGTAACGGTAGCCGTCCGGCGGAGCCGGCGGAACGATCCGGACGGGACCGAAACCATGTGGCGGTACAAACACCATGATAGGCAAGGTTAAATGTTTTTTAGTGAGTCATATTCACATCGAATATTTCAATAACTAAGGCTTTCTTCATCATTAATACATATATAAACAAATATAAACACAAAAATACCACTGATTTAAAACAGTGCAAAAAGATCCACCAGCCTACCTCTGCTGTTTTGTGATTAACAAAGGTCATACAGATGTCGAGGTCACTATGCTGGAACCCAAAGCCATTACAGGAAGAGCCAAAGAGTTGGAGCCTGGCATTGGGGTACTGCTCCCGTATGTAATCCTCCAACTCCCTCAGGATTTGGTTTCTTTCATTAACTTCTCTGTCTGTGGGTGCAAAGTCATCTGAAGCAAGGTCAAGAACAAAGACATGAAACAAATGCTTTCAAGTCTGAATTTTTTCATCATAACTTTATTTTATATATGCCCATTATCACGATAATTATTTTTTTCTTTACTACAATACCCTTAACAGTTGAAAGCAAGAAATACTCCACAAAATGGCATAAAAACCAATAAAAACTTAGTAACTTCATTAAAAATTATCTAAAAATTGATCTCTTTACCACTCAAGTAAGCACACTTACCAGGCACCTGCTGAAGTACACTGTCCAGCAGTTTGATGTAAGGTTTTGTGAGAGGAGGAAGAGGTTGGAGCTCAGGTAGGGTCTCCTCAGGACAGTGTTGTTTAAGATGTCCCTCTTGAAGGCATATTGCACACATCACTCCTGGTCCCTACAATAGCATTGAGAAAAATATCAAATTCAAAACAGAAATTAAAAGCAATATTCTTCCCTATTTTTGCTATTAACTGACAGCACTGCTGGCAACTTACTTAGAATTTTTACCAATTATGTGGCAATTATGAATATCCTTTTTTGATTTATATGTTTCATGTCAAATACAAAACAATTTGTATGTATACCTTTCCATCTGTTAGAGTTTCTTCACTGAAAACATAGTTGTAATCTTCAACATCTAGTTTTTCTGACTCTCTGTCTGAAGACTTTTGATCTTTGCTTCCTTCAAGAGCACCCTGAGCATCTAGATTATGTTTCAACTCATCACTTGTGTTCTTTTCATTCCTGCTTCCATCATTTCTTTTTTCCTTTTCAATAAACATATAATTTCTATTGGTGTCACTCGTTTTATTTTTACCAATCCCATTATCTGAAGTTCCTAGGGACATTTTCTTTTCATTCACATCCTCAGTGAAACACCCATGGTCCCTTTCACCATTAGAGGAAAGTTTGAATTCCTTGTGACGTATCATCAAGGCATCCTGAATAATAGATTGCACCAAACCTGCAGCAAACTCCCCTAGAGAATCACAGTGCACAATTTGTGAAGGTTCTGAATACGGTTCTTTATACTGCATTTGCTGTGCTCTAGTATCAGAGTCTGAAACTTTTTGCATGGCACCACTCACTATTTCCTCTACTACCTCTTCTGCATATGTGCTGATATTCTGCTCTTCTGTGTTAAGGTGTTGACTCACTGGAATAATGAAGCAGATAATTTGATATCAATTCCATTACATAAATAAATAAATGCTGACATATTATTATGGTTGTTGCAGCTAAATAAAGCTGCGTGTTACCTTTCGATCTTAATGTTCGATTCCTCTGTCTAATACAAGACCTAGCACATAAGAAAACTAGATGCTGTCATCAAAAATGAGCAGAAATATTAAATTTCCTAAAATGCATTATCATAATGGGTTAATGTTCATATACTAGTCCCTAGTTAATTCCAAACACCTAACTTATTCCAATATAATATGTTGTAAAGATTTATCATCCCCAGTTTTTTATAAGAACACACTTTGTGACATATACAAAAATGGAATTTCAAAACTTTTGAATCATACCTTATTGGCAATTAAAACAAAGCATTATTCTGAAAAATGTAAGGGATCATTTTTAAATTAATCCAATTAAGTAATTAGTTACTGCATACTCCTTACCTTTTTCTGAGATCTTATTTTTTGACTTGCCTTCCTTAGAGTTGTTCATTTTGGGTTTGATTCCATCTTTGAATTGTGGACTTCCAAAGTACTTATAGGCAGCCCTCAGTCTGTCATAGATGTATTCGAATATTTGACTGTGGCTCACTGACCTTGTAACATTTCTCTTCACAGAAAATGGGTCTAGAGATATAAAAAAAACATCATACGAAAAACAAACAAATAATAAGGTATCAAAATGTAAATATTTGGTATTTATGGTTGTAGAGCTTCCAACTGGTCACTGAACTATCCAAATGAAGTTTTCTTTTCTACAAAGAATACAATTACCAAAGTAGTTTTATTAATTAAAACCAACCTTCTATGGCTAATTTCTTGCTTGACCACTTCTTCTCATCTCTAGTGACAAGTTGTTTCTGTCTGACACAAACTACATAATTTCCTATGTCAAAATTCAGGCTGTAAAATTTGAGCATTTCCAACCAGAGCTCTGCCAAGGACTGGGTGTTCTTGCTGGTCCATACACTTGACTGAAAATGAATTAAGAATACTTCTGACATATCCTGTTAAGGTAGATAATATATGATGTAGGGGTTGATATGTTAATAGCTAATATCTGAACAAGCTAAAATATCAAACTCAATTTTTTTTGTTTGGTGAACCGGCTTCTGATTTTTACAAATGTTTGCTCATAAAACCTGATAAATAATAGTATTTATTTGTCAGTTTTGCAGATAGAAGTGAAAAATCAAAATTATTTTTGATTTAATCTTTTTTCTTAATTTTTGCCTTTACATCATTTTTATCACAAAATCTCAACCCCTGCGTACCAAATTGTCTATATCTTCAAAATACCAACAATTCTTGCCATCTATCTTCTTTTGTGGTCTTTCTTTGCATCCTTTTGGAAGAACCTGTAAAACAATACATAGCACAACAAGAATTCATATCACTATGTATTTTAAATCAATTTTTCTTTTTCAAAAACTTCCCAGAATGAAATCCATTTCATGAAAAATAGAGACAAGGAGCAAAATACAACCAAAACCAAACTAAGAAGCATCCATTCACAAAACACACATCAAATTTATATTTTCAATTACTGTAATTAAATTCATTAACAACAATTCATTAACAAGCAATATGTTAGCTGCTCTGCATGGAAACATGGGAATTAATTTTACAATTTAATCATGCTTTAAAAGTTTTTAATTTTACAAATTGGAAATTGATGTTGACAAAAACTTTGGAGAGGACAGAAAACTACTCAGCCATCATTTATGAATTCGGTGTCAGGATAATTTCTATAGATGGCACAGTGTGAAAAAATCCTTCTTCCTTTCATGTAGATAAAGCAAGAATAAGTCAGATCAAATTTGAAAGCCTTAAAAAAAATGTTGACCTACTTCTTGTAAAACTGGTAACACTGGTGGGTTGTGTTGTTGTAAGAAGAACACAGTCAACAAACTGAATGCATATGATGGCAAGGACCCTGCATCTTGACGGTCTGCTTTACACAACTGAAGTAGAAGCAACAGTGACATATATTGTAAAACCAAGTGTCATTTCTGCTTAAGCATGCAAGCTTTTTTCCTTCAGCTGCCTAATAAAAAGAAATGGTTGCTAAAAATACCCATTTAATGCTATGTGCACACTGCCCAGAGTCTATGATTGAAAAGTAAATGTGGGCTCTGTCTTAAAAAAACAAGAGACAAGCTAAAGCATAAGGTAAACCCACTATAGATAGACTAATAAAGTACATACCTTTGCCCAGTATTTGAACAAAATACCAAGTTTTCCAACCCTATTATCTATTCTGGAATAGAGCTGGAGTAGCTGGCTGGTTTCAAAGGAAAGCTCATTATGAACAGTGAGTTGGCATCTAGCAGTCTCTCCATCAATAGGGACATAGATGGAAGGAATCTTGGCAGAAAAATCACTCACAGCCTGGTTAAACAGTGCTACAATAGATTAGGAAACCAACTATTTGACTTGAAAAAGGTTTCTCCACAGTTTTACACCATTCTTAAAGGTCTACAAATTACACATAACATTAAATATACCGTAAAGACCTTTTTATTAAAAAAATTTCAGGTGTTATCTTAAGTAGCAACCATAGGAGTTTAAATGCAAAAAATTAGAATGATCAAGAACTCACCACTTTCCTTAAGTAGTTCATAGGCTGTCATTAAAACATATGCAATATTAGCATTGCTGCCCACAACAACATCGATGTTCAAATCACTTGACTTCAAGCCAAATCCATTCACTGAGCTGCCATACAAACGCAGATACACATCTGAATTGAAAAACTAATTATTTGTACGGGAAATTTCATTAAGCAAACCCTTAGGTTCTTTTCTTTTCAAACCCTTAGGTTCTTTACAGTGATAGGAAAATAATTAATAACAAATGAGACGTGCTTTTCAATTGCCAAAGACACTTAATAGAATGCACTCTCTAAATGGCTTATCATGCAGCATTAATCATTCTTAAATATTCTTTCATATTCTACATATTCCTGACAATGGAAATAATGATCAAACATTTAAACTGCACAAGTAAAATAAACTCACCAGGTAACTTTGTTTGAATCACTTCCTCCAGAGACTTGGTAATATTTTCCCTCTTCTGTATATCTTGTGGTGTCAAAGCCTGTTTCTCTAGCACTTTATTTAGAGCTTTGTCCACTGCTTGTAGATGTGCAGATGAAGGAGGAGCCAAGTGCCTTAGCATGGTATTAGATTCCTTCAGCTTTTCACAAAAAAGGGGAAAACAAATCAATTAATCAGCTTGAATTTTTCAATCATTTGTATCTAGAGCTGTATACATTATTTTCCTCTAAATGCAAATAATTTCTGGAAACCATTTCACACAAAAAAACCTCTATAAATAGTCTTCAATCATATATATATATATATATATATATATATATATATATATATATATATATATATATATATATATATATATATATATATATATATATATATATATATATCAAATCAGAAATGAAAAAGGAAAACAATATCTACTTCTTTAATGAGTAAAAGTTGTAAAAAATTTAAATCCTGAAAATGGTGCATGCAATTTCTCATTGCAAAAATCCTGAAATCAGGCACATCCAGAAAAGTTTCACCCATGTAATTACCTGAACAGTAAGTTAACTTGACTGCCACACTACATCAATGCATAACTTATCATAAAACTCTGCATTTTCTAGCACAATTCAATCTTTCATATAATGCTTCTTTCAAACAGAAAGGTATGACATTTTAAAACTTTCATTAAACCCCTGAAAAACTTTTTTTCAAGTCTCTTTGGTTTACCCCTTTAAGCCTTCTGTGTCTGTTGTCCTTTGCGTGATTTGCACATATCTGGAGAGTGTCACAATGATATTCGCAGAGTCGGCAGAAAAACCTGGCTTTAGGAAACCGTACAGATTTCTGAAACATAATATACATTTAAATACATAACCTTTAAAATAATCTAACTTCTAAAAATGTACACTGATATACATCAATACTAGAATAACAGCATAAATTACAGATTAACTTTTTGTGGCCTGAACTTTGGACTTTTGCAGACTATCTTGATAAGCGATGCCACAACAGCAATACAATCACGATTCTCGTTGTGAGCACGATAGCCACATCTGCAAACACCAGCTACCTAATAAAGTTGATCCTACAGACTTATCTTTTGGATTTTTAATGACTATTCATATTTTTTTCTTCTAGTTAATCATGCACCTGAATTTTTTACTTCAATTCCTTGTAAAATGGCAGATTAATATTATATGCTACTCAGATAAAATTAGCTATGTGGGAAAAGCATCTATTATTTCCTCATGGTTCTTTACATACATGTCATCAAACCAAGGTTAGGCTTTCATATGTGCATCTATATAGACCAGTTAATACATTCCATACATGCATTCAGATATAAAGCAGAGTAACGTTTCCAACATTTACACGTATTCTATGTATTACTTCAAAAGGAGTATTTCAGGCATTATTCTATTGTTAATAAGACATTAGACGATAGACCTACAAGTTTTAAGTGCTTTCATTTCAGCAATTCTGTTAATGAATGTTTATGATTTTCAAAGGTTACTTGAATGAGAGGAAACTGAAGGCTAAAAAGGATGCAATATGATAGTGGTTTGGAAATAACAAAGCTGGCCAACATCTGGACAGCTCTACATACCAGCATGGAAGAATAAAAAATGCAATCAGAAATTTAAATGTTAGAGTCACATCCATTCTATGACATTTCTTTTGTATTTTCTCAAAGAAACTTTGCTACATTTTCTTAGAATACAGATAGTCTGAAAATGATATTTTAATCAAAGGAGTTATTTAGAAAATGTTCAGACACATAGTGTCTGTTCATAATAATATATAAATCTGTGAATAACAATTTTGCAAACCTAATTTCAAAGTGCACCTAAGGTGACTAACACCAACATGCAAAACTCAAACTACCTCATATCAGTCTCATCTATTTCTTTTTCTCATTTTATTCATGTGAATGTCAGTTAAAAAGTTCACTATATTGCATTCTAATGAAAATGCAGACCTGGAGATGAGAAGATTACCTTTTTCAAGGGAAATATATGCTCTAGTTCCAATTTTTTCAATTCCTCCTCGCTTGGTTTTACAAAATCACTGCTTTCCCAAAGATGCCTCTCTTCTGTCTCTAAAATGTTATAAACACATGGGTTTGTCATTAATTATTTATTTCAAACGTCATTTCTATCCACCAGCATAAGCACTGTCTCAAGCCACACCAAGTGTATTTTTCCACCTGCTCAGGGTTTTGACATGATCACTGGAAAAACAAACTGCTCACCCTTCAAATAGCTGCACCCCAAAAGACTATCTGTAAGTAGATTTTTAAGTTGAGAGTGGCCTCAGACAACAAAATTGGTGGTTTATTAATGTCTTATAGACAATCTAGTGCTGTTATACCTGGCATGAATGTATCTTACGACAGTACCAATATGTTAAATTGTAAAATGTGTAAATCATAGTTTTCACATCTACACAGTCAATAACTTGTGGAACAGGTTGTGGAACTCAAATTTATATTTATTTGAGATGCACATACAATGTGCTTGATGATTTCAGTCGCTTCTTGGAAGTGCTTTTTTTCATACAAATCAAAGGGTATACTGGGTTAAATAATTCAACAAGAAAAGTTTGAACACACCTCCTTTGACCCATTTTCTCCAAGCTATTTCTTGAATGCAAGGTAATGTGTGACAAAAGTATTCTCTCATTTATCAAGTTAATTAAAAGACTTATTTTTAAAAGATGATTTATTTTGAAACTCTTCACTAATGATAATAACAAATATAAAGCATATCCAGAAGTGAACCTTTATAGATTTATAGATTCAGATATATTGAAGTTTTCTGTGTAGCCTAATTTCGAACAAGAGGCAGAAATTTGAAGCCTGTGTTGGGAGTTTTAGAACAAACTAACAGCTCCTCATATGGACTTCTGCCAGCCACTGATGTTTCACCTGATTGAGAGGTCAATGCTTTGTCTTATCTCCAGATTTATTTACTCATGGGAAAAGAATACATCAAAAAATGTAGGTATTAATAAAGAGAATAATCATAACAGGCACTGTGGCTCTCCTGTATTAATTCATGTTTTGCTGTGACTTTTCCTCTCTCATCATAATTACTAACAGTCAGGTGAAACATCAGTGGGCAAGATACACAGGTTTTCAGATGGACACAAGGGTGTTGTCTGACTACTAATAGACATATCCAGTTATGAACTCATTATAAAAGTAGGCTTAAAAACAATTACTTCAACTGAATTACAGATAATTTCCATATGCTCAAGAGGTTTCCTACCTGCAGTAGGCACTCTTTCAGACTTGGAAGACTTTTGATTAACTTCTTCAACTGGCAATTTAGCATTTTTTTCAGGTTCATCCCCTTCAACTTGCTTGCTCTTCTTCAGCTTTTGTTTTTTCTGTTTTGACTTAGAAGACTGTTCATCTTGTGTAATGCAAGCCGTGTTTTGGGCATTTTTCTTCTTTTCTTTTTTCTTTTTATCTTGTCTAAAGTTTGTCTTGTTATCCTCTCCGTGTTTACTATCTACTGATATGTTACCACTCTGTTTCTTGTCATCTTCAGTAACTGGTGTGTTTATACAGAGTATCTGTTTTATTCCATCTTCAATTTCTTTGCAGGTAGAACTGTTACTTGGTCTTTTATTTCTGAAACACAAAAGAGGAAGAAAAATAAATGTTCTACTGCTGCAGGAAAGTAGTCAATGAGTCTTGACACTGCATTTGTCAAGAAAATTGATAGTTTATTTAAGTCTACCCTAGCACGCATGGTTTGCATGAAACCCTATACAGACTATCATGAGTTTTCAATCTCAACCAGGGATATAAATCAAAACATTGACTTCTATAAGTTCTCAAGAAAAAAACATTTGCTGTTCATCTTGAGTGATAGTTGGCATATCAGGAGTGGTCCATCCAATTCTTCTCATCAAGTTAATTACCATTTTAACGGATGAAAATCACAGTTGTTTCAATGTTGACCCTGTCTTAAAGATGAACAACGTAGTTCTGCTGCTCAATAGTCTAAAGATTACATAACCACAAAATCAATTGGGCCAAGACCATTTGTTCAAGGGTTTACTGTTCCTAAACTTTTTTATGTTTCTGTTCAATGGTTTGTTGGTAAGTTAATTAAGTTACCTTGGTAAAGACTACCAGAATAATTCAAACAGAAATGGTTTACACTGGTGATACTGTTAAAAGAGAATGCATTTTAACTTATGTAAGAATGAAATTTTGGAAAGTACATTAGGACCAATAAACCTAACACATGAAGGGCACTAATAATGCTACAGTGTACTTAGCTACATGTTGCATTCCTTAGATATTTAAATCCATCCCCTACCACCAGCTGTTTTTCATCAGAGGTTATGTACCAATTAATGATCAAGCTCATATGAAGGGGCATTTTGTTAAACAGTTCTTATCACAACGTTGTTAAATATTCCTGGGATGGTACTCCAAACTTTCATTTAAACCGGTTGGGAATATATTTGATATGTAAATTGTGATAGTCCTCATTTTTCTTTTGTACTAGCAACGGTGGCCTAGAATAAAACTAACAAAGACAACTGTCATCGTAGTTTTCAAAGCGCTTCTTTTTCTTGGTGGCAGTCGACGAGGTTAAAAAAGTATGTATTTGCATTTAAAAATTTGTTCAGATTCAAAATGATAGATGGCCCAGAAGTTAAGGATTATCTTGCATCATTTTTATATGCAAATGCAAAAATATGTTTATTGGCACGCCCCACCGGCTTCCTCGATCACTGTGTCCCTCCTCACAGCAAATTACTTGTACTTCAACACAAAGTAAATTGTAAACATAGCAGCACTCACGTTCCGCCTCTTGTTTCTTCCGCCATGTTTCTAACCTGCAAGGAATCATGGGAAAATACTATTTCTATTGTTTGATATTGTCCATTGCCTTGTTTGGGCTCATTATTTATCATTATAATGTTGAGTGCTATCTATTCATTCAATTAACTTTTTTTCTTTTGATGAAGTTGACTAATTGACGAAAACCCGTCAAGCTGATTTTATACGAGATTTGATTATGCGAGCACACGAAATGCTGAAGAGTGCATTAAATACGCATTGTTAGTAAATATGACTTAGTATCAGCAAATTTTCCTTCCTTTGCCATCTAAAACTGTTGAACCTGACATGTTTCCTTCGTCAGGCTATTTCAAAGGGGTAAACTGCCCATTTTATTCCAGCGGTTTGTGTGAGAGGCCGTACTGTCACTTTCGCCATACAAAAATCAAGGATTCCCTGCCAGTGCCACACGGTAAGCAGTCATTTTACTGTTAAATAGTTCTGTTCGATGTTTGTGGAGTGTGATGCAGACAAATGCATAAGATCCTATATTATCCACAAAAGTTTCAAAGTTATATATGCTGCGCATTTCCTTTGCATCCAACTTGCAAACACTTCAATGTTAATTAGCCTTTGCAGTATGATAGGACAGATTAAGGGTGCTTTCACAATGAAACTGACGTACTAGTTAGTTCATACTAATTCCGCAGAGACTGCCCCTAATTGCAATCACAATTAACAGATTAATATGCAACTTACTGGCATTAAGTGCATAGAAAAGCCGGTGATTATACGAGTGCATTGGAAACAAGGAAGCATATAAAGTAGTTAATCTGATTGCATTCAGCAAAAGTCCCCATAGAGTTTGTTTGAGCTACCCAGTACAATAGTTAAATATTTTTATTTTATGTCCATACCCTGAGTTGATTTTGTTCATCATGCTTCACACTGAATGTTTGTCAAACGGGTTATTCAGTGATACTATTTACTCCTGCTCAGGTCCTCTAAGCATTCCTATCAAACTATATGAACTCTGATTTTCAGGTGATTCAAGTAAAGAAGTACACAATGGCAACCAGCAGCCAAGAAAATCTTCACTTCTTAATTTGGTTGGAAATGCCATAAAGCAGGTGCAGCAGGAAATTCAGCAGGACCAGCAGAAACTGTATGGAAGTCAGCACAGAAAACGAACTTCTTCAAGTGAGGGCATTAAAACAAGTAATGTTTTACATCTGTAGCATACCTTCTTAGAAGCACTGTTTTTTACATGGTTAGATTTAATTGATTCCCCCCTCTGCTTCTTATTGCATGTAGATTACAAAGCATGCATACCATCATATAATTAACTCATGTTGTTGTGAGCAAAACTCATTATGTGATAATGCTGGTTTAGCAATGATTTTTGAATAATGTTTATAATTTGCTTTCAGCAAATTGTACTTACATACCAACCAAAAGAGATTCATCAGCTGAAAGCAACCTTAACCCCAAGATAGACTGGTACAAGCCTTCTCCAGTGTCTCCATCTGGCAAGGTTGAATACCACCCAACCAAAAAGGAAGATCTGAACAAATATACTGGAAAACAATTATCTGTTCCACAACAAAAGAAGCAGTATGTTGCACTATCCTCTGGTAGCCAGTCTGGCGGTTATGTACCATCAAAGAAAAGCAAAGTGCCGGAATACAACCCCACACCCATTAAACAATTACAACATATGTCCCAATGTGGTTCTCCAGAGTTGGAATATGACCCCTCAACCAATTATGAATACAGTAATAAAAAGACTGTTAGCCCAGGTGGGACTAAGAGAAATTTAAATTTTGATGTAACTGAAATAAATTCAAAGCGGTTTAAATCAGATATCTGCATTGATGGAGACTTGCAAGAGTTTGAAAATATCGAAGCAAAATTCAGTGATGATGATGAAGATGATCATGGGGATGAAAAGAGTTCTGAGCAAAAAGAGCACAAAAGCCCAGATGACATTAAAGGTGATGCAAAAGATGCAAAAGATTTAAATGAAAAGAAATCAAGATTACAGAATGCTGCTCAAGAAGTACCTGTAAATAATACTGAGGAAACCCCAAAAAATTCGAAATCCGAAAATGAGACTTCTGGCACAATCAATGAAGAAAATGTGAAACCCGAGGAAGTGCAGCAGCATGAAGATGTTGACACTGTGGGTGGTGATAAGAGTGAAAATGCAGAGAGAAATGGAGATAGCCTAAACTGTCAAGTTGAAGATTTGAAACCTGTCGTCAAGTTGGAAAACCCTATTGAAGACTTGGACAAGAAAGCAGCAGCTTCTCAAAATGATTCTTCCAATTCAAAGCAGAGAGATCAAAAGTCATCACATCATTCACATTCACACAGAAGTAGTGGTCATGCATCAGATCATAAACATTCACGTCACAGTCACTCCTCATCAAGTCATAAACATTCACAATCTAGTCATAGGCATTCATCATCAAAAGAGAAATCTGAAAAAAGCAGTTCATCAAAATCTTCTAGTTCTAAGTCAAAGAACAGCAGTGGTAGTAGCAGTAAACATTCAGAATCACACAAGGATAAAAGCAGAAAGGATAAGTCTGATGATACTAAAGTGAAATCCAGTTCTTCAAGCAGTAGTAGTAAAAGTTCCAGCAAAAAACATCACTCGTCAGATCACAATAAAACAAGTGGAACATCATCTCATCATTCAAGTGATTCAAAATCCCAGTCGGGATCTTGTTCAAAAGATAAAATGGACAAAGGCTCCGAGCTTTCAAAAAGTAAGAGCCATTCAGCTGACAAGAAACGTAAGTCGTCTTCAGACTCGAAGACTAGTAAAGATTGCAGCTCTGAAGCCAAGTCTAGTAAGCATTCAAAGTCAAGAACTGTATCCACTGATAGCTCAAAAATCATTCTCTTTGGATCTGACAGTGAGGATGATTTGTCTTTGTCAGATGTCAGTGTGTCAGAGATCACATCTGTGGGCGAAGACAAAACATCAGAGACAAATAGGCAGCACAAACATGAGGTGAAACAAAAAGTAGATAACACATTTGATCAAAATGACCAGGCTAATAGTGAAGATGAAGATGATGCTGATTTTGTAGATGTCCCAGATGTTTATGACATTGACCTGTCAGACGAGGATCCATATGATGAATGTTTGAAAATATATAATGAAGCATCTAAAGCTGACAATCAAAAAACTGATGGGGACAGAAAGGTAAAAAAAAAATTTGATGATATTGTTTAATATTGTAATATAAATTTCCAGGTCTTTGGGCTCCTTCATTGTGTAACATTTTAGTTATAACTATTATAAATATATTTTGTGTCCTATCCAGGATTTTTCTTCCAAATCCAATTTTCCACAGAAAAAAAGATTTTCTCCTACTCATAAATCTTTGTTTGACCATTGGACTTTGATTCCATAAAATTATTAGCCATATCATAATTGTAATTTTTCCTACATGTTAGAAGCAGTGCCTTCTTATGACTGTGGTGTGCTTTAATTCCAGTCCATGCTCACTCAAGCCAGTATTATAAAGAAAAGAGAAGAAAAATTAAAAATTGAAAATCCACTAGGGAAAAAAAGAGTGGCTCACCAAGCAGGACTTGAAAGGGTAAGACAGTATCCTGTGGTGAAAATTGATACATAGAGCCGCTCTGATTCAATTTTGATTGATTTTTTTTATGTTTAATGTTGGTTGGTTTTGTACAAGATGTATTTTTTGTTGGTTATGATATTCTATTTTTTGACTTGCTTACATTGTCTGTTATGTGAACAGTTAAAGTATTTGCTTTAAAGATTGTATTGTACATTTTACAAGGTACATGTGTAAATCATGTGATACACCATAATACTTCCACATACTTAAAAGATATAATACACGAAAATAGACTGGTAACTGATGATGTTGACACAATAATTTTATCACTTTTCTTTAATAGTCCAATCATGCCAAGGAATCAGCCAAGCCTTATTACCGTCCATCTCCAGCTCAAGTGATGCACAACAGGTTCCTGCAGCTTCAGAAGCAGGCAGAGGAGGCGGCAGCTTCTACATCAGCCACAGCAGCTAAATCTGTGTCAGATTCTCAAGTCAAAGTAAGAATTTTCTACAACACATCTTTCTTATCGAGTCTTAAACAAGTTAAGTATTTTTCCATTTTGTCCTAATGATTGAAGAGAAAGTTTGTATGTCTTATTTATGAAAAGTTTAGAAAGGGAAATATTTGATTTCTACTTTTTCTTTTTTTTTCTCTCACTCCTTTTTCTTTATGATTGGTATTTTAGGTGTGATTTTGCCACTGATTAACACCAGGGTATGAAGTCCTTAGTAACATAATTGATGGAAAAAAAGTGACCTTATCTTTTTTAAGTTGAAAAATGCCCTTTTTCACCTTAATCATGACAAAACAACAATCATTAACATAACATCTTTTTTCCAACTTTAGCCAACTGGAAAAAGAGTTGCACATTGTGCAGCTGGTAGTAATCTACTTCAAAATAAAAGACCCAAGTCAACACCAAAAAAGACAGAGTCAGCCTCCACATGTATCAGCACCAATCCAAAAGGTGCAAAAAGAGTCGCAAGAGTGCCGACCAAGGTATCTTATGAAACTGTGATTAGGTTAACATTTTCATTGGTGGTAGTAATATTAGGTTTTATGGATATCTTATCCACACTTACATGCACTTATAACTGTAAATAAAAGAAAACAAAAAGCGATACAATTTTCCTTTATTATTATTATTATTATTATTATTATTATTATTATTATTATTCCTAGGTCACCTGCAAGAGACCAACTATTCCATCTGAATATGGTTCAAAAGTTCCTGTCAATGTTAGACAACGCTACCTGAATCTCATCATTGATGAGTGTCTGAAAATTTATGACACTGAGAAAGATGCATATGAGAGAGTAAGTGTGTCAGAAGTTTTCTATATGTTTTTTTTATCCCACAGTAGGTTTGTTGCCCTAGTTTGGTGTAAGTTTATATAAAGTATTAATTAATAAATTGGAAAATCAAATCAGTTCATTTTGAAGTGACTTGGTATTTTGTGTAGAAAATTCTTAAATTGTATGTATTTATTAGTTGCACGTCAAAATAAAAGCCTATATTATTTTGTATTGGATCAGTTATAACTTTTTTGATTTTAAGGCTTGTTTGTCACATAAAGCATATTTTTTCATCCATAGGGTCTTGAAGAGGAGAAGGCTGTATACAAGCGTAGTTCCAACAGGACTGTATACCTAAATGTAGCTGTAAATGCAGTGAAGCGTCTGAGGTCAGAGGTCACCCTTCACCAGCCTGGCACTTCATCGCAAACACCTGATAAACATCCCAAAGGGTTTTCACATGAGGCTGTATTGGGAGGGTCAAGGGCTGCCAAAACTAGCTTTACACTGAACAGGTCTGGTGGACCAGTGGTGTTGAATGAGAAAGATTTCACAGGTAAATAAGTACCTGGGCCAAGCAGCTGTTGACACATTATTCAGAAGTGCTTGATGGTGTTTTTTCAACTGCTGATTAGTTTTGTGTAGCAATCAAAGTTTAGGTAAAATCAACTTTAACATGTTGTTCAATTTAAGGTGTGTTTCTCTGATTATGATCTGCTGGAATCTTATTTTGTCCCTAGATGCAGGGCTGTACAAAAAGCTTACCCCATATATCATGACAGAGGAACAGCTGGTGGACAATGGGTTTCCAAGATTCAACCCTGAATGTGCAGGAACACCCTTCATAAAGCTGAGAGAAGATAGCATGAGTAAACTATTTTCTAAAATAGGTGAGAAAAAAGACTAAGCTTTTTTTTTCTTTTTTTTTCAAAATATACATGCTCCTTTTTACATTAGATAAATTGGAATATATGTATATGTGTCAGTAGAGGCATTTGCCACTTTTAGAAAAAAGATAATAATAATAATGAGATAAAAGAAATATTGCGAAGACTTGAATGTTCAAAATATCCATTTGACTCGTTTTATCATTATTTCTCCTGTTTTGACATCAGATAGCACTTATGAAACTGCATTATGGATTAAATTAATTATATTTTCCTTTTGTCTTAAGAAAATGAACGCATCTGCTGCAGATGTGGGAAGAGATTCCCTGTGTATCCCAATGGCATGTATGGCAAACAAGAGGAGTGCAACTACCACTGGGGCAAGGCTTGGAAGAAGAGAAGTATGGTCATTGTCATCTATTAACGCGCTCTCTTTTGGCCGTTTTTCATTGACATCAGGAATTTAACTTTTCGGATAATGCACTCAATGACATGTGAATTCATACATTGAAGACATTCTCCGTACTGTTTACTTTTTGTATGATATTTCTGATAAACACTGAAATGTTTAGTCTGTAAGATATAAGTTTAAACCATTCATATACACACTTTTTACTTTGTTGGCTCCATTGTTTTAGTTGCTGGTGCCATAGAGACCAGGTATACTTGTTGTCAGGGTGATTTGGGAGCCGCCGGGTGTCAAGTGGCAAAGGTATAGAAAAAATCTAATTAATTAGATTAACTAATTGCGTATTAATGTCACAAAACCAACAATTTAGGTGTGATTTATACATTCTTTGATGAAAAAAAATTAATACACTTTGAAGACAGTTTTTCTCTCAACTTCAAAACATGAATGGCTTTGAAGTTTTTAAATGCAAATATATTTAGATCCATCTTCCCTAAATAAGAAATTTACAAAATACTTTCAGCTCCATGTGCATGAACAAAACAAATATGAAAACAACAGTGGGTTTATGAGAACTATCCCATGCTCTCCACCTGTGGACGGAGATTATGGAGTCTATGCTTTGGATTGTGAAATGGTATGTACTACACAAAACATCTATAATTAAACATTTTATTAAATTGCTTACCGATAATATTTTACCTGTTATGTCTACATTTTGTGTAAGGTTCTGTAGCTAGAGCAATTTATTATCTATAACAAAGGCCAAAAATTAGTGTGGCATTACTTGATGCTGAACCTGTGTGTTTAAGGTGTACACCACAGCAGGCATAGAACTGGCCAGGGTCACAGTGATAGGGGGAGACATGAAGCCAGCATATGAAACCTTAGTCAAACCTGAAAAACCAGTCATTGACTGCAACACAAGGTAATAGCTTATGTTGGGTGGGATTTACTTTTTGGAATTTGTGGAGCTGCATTTTAAGAGCTGTTCTTTAAATTTTGTGGAGATGTATCTTAACAACCGAAATTATAATCATATTATGAATGATAGATTTTTAGAAAAATTTACTTTGGTTTAAAACAGAAAAACTGGATTTTATGAAAGATAAGTAAAAATTAACAGGGATTTTACTGGTTTATTCTTTAGGTTCAGTGGATTGAAGAAGGAAGATCTGAAGGGAGTAAGGACCACCATCAGAGATGTCCAGGCTGTACTCCTCAGTTTGTTCAGTGATAAAACTATACTAATGGGTCACAGTTTAGAGAGTGATTTGATTTCACTCAAGGTAGGAGGAGTTGGTTAAGTAGTAACGTTATATAATGATCAGATCAGATTTGCAACCCAAATTTGTTCTAAGATTTAGCTTTTAACATGCTCCTCACAGCTAGATTTAGAATTTTTTGCATTCGCACCATCAAATTTATACCCCAAGAAGAAGAGCAGACTTATGGAGCTGTTTTAATGATGAATGATATAAAAGTTTTGCATTTTGATGTCTACTTGCAGCTGATTCACAGCACAGTGGTGGACACCTCAGTAGTGTTCCCTCACAAGATGGGGCCACCTTATAAGAGAGCACTCAAGACTCTCATGGTGGAATATATGCAGAAAATAATACAGGATGATGGTAAGACTGTTCTAAAACTGACTGTTCTAAAAGCTTATAGAAGTAATTGTATGTGTATTGAATATTTACTGTATAAGTGATTTTTGTAAAACATGAAATCGGTCTTCATCATCATCATCATACAAAACATTTGTTGAAATCTTAAAAACTGAAGGAGTTTTTCACAATTTGGGTCAATGGGATTTTAACTTTTATGAAAGCTATAAATTTCAAACTTGAGATGTCTGTTTCAGTTGGAGGTCATGACAGCAAAGAGGATGCAATGGCATGCCTGGAGCTGATGCTGTGGAAAGTCAAAGATGATGCTAAAAAGCATCGTTAGGAGAATTTTGATGAATTTTTTGCCATATTTAATATTTATAAGGATTTTGCCACATTTACAATTCTTACTAGAATGTTTTTTATTTACTGAATATGAATAACTGTTTCATTAAGGTAACTTATGTAATGTCACATTTAATCCAAATAAGGCAATTTTTTCAGAACATCATACTATTGATTCTTCAATTATTTAGGAACCTAGTCCACAATGTGCAATTTGAATACATTTAGGAAAAAACATGGACATTTCTATGTATTAAGTGAATTTTTTTGGATTAGATGCAGTTTCATGTTGCAAGGCATAGTGTAAGCATTTATATATCTCCAATAGGGCACCAAGGTTATCTTTCGCATAATATAAAAGTTTAAAAAGTCAATCATGTAGTGCTTGATATAAGGCAAAGTCATTTTTTTTTTGCGAGTTAAACAGCAGGAGAAGCCCAGAAGTACGGGATTTTCTATTTTACATAGAAAATACTATATAAAAAATTGAGATTATTGGAATAAAAAAGACACAAATAATTGTAAGTTATACATATTTTTTTTTATCTGTGATAATGTATGGGTATGTGTATGAAATTTATGGCAGGAGCGCAGAAGACTAAGGTAGTTGCAAATGTTATTACTGCCCAAAATTTCTATCAAGTTATTATTTCAATGGTAAAATGTTGGTGCTGTTATGGTTTGAAGTTTTGTACCATTTCATATGTACTGAAATTAAAATAATGTACTCAGAACATATGTATGTTTTCTTTTTCTTTGGATTTTTCTAAGAGAGAAAAAATCCATTACAACATTGGGAAATTATAATAATTTCATAATTATTATGAAAATAAGGATAAAGAGTAATGATCAATGTGTCATGTTACACAAGGCATCAGATTTAAAGTGCTAACCAAATGAAAATGCTACAAGGCTGAAAGATGCCCAAAATCTCAAGTCTTAAACTTTAGATTGCTCCATGTTTCCAAACAATAACATAATGATAAATACAGCCAAATAAGAAGAAAATTGCAAAATCTTTTTATTTTATTTATTTATAGTTATTATTATTATTATTATTTTATTATTATTATATTTTTTGTAAGAATACATGTTGCATGAAACGAGGGGTTTCAGTTTTTTTCATAATCAAAACTTTTAATGGTTCTTTACATTATGTTATGTGAGAAAAGTATTACTTTTCATCTTATCAATAGTTCAGCATAAGACTGTCTCATCTAGTCAAAAATGGATGGAAATGCATCATTGAAGCCTGCAAAAAAATTAATTTTAACAATAAAATGGTAATTAATCCTCATGTACCAGTGTTTGTTTATTGTCATTGCATATAATATTGAAAGACAGGCCTCCAGGCTGAAATTCTTAAATGACCTCTAACAGACATTATGACATAAAACTGATTTTTGATCAATTCCATGAATAGCTACTGGTGGATGGATTGATATATCCTAAATATCCAGATGGCAGTCAAATTAGATGCTCTACGACCTAAGTAATAAAAGCTTTCATACATGATAAATCATTTTTAAAATTATATAAGAACATGAGATCTCAAATCCTTAAAAAAAACATAATGACATTTCATTTTAAAATGCAACTTTTTCTGAAATGCAGGAAAGTGATTTACAGCAAGGCAAGCTCGTTTCTGCTACCTGCTTGCGTACCAATTTATATGGAATTCTTTCCTATAATAAATTTTGTATGCACTGCGAAATTCTGTTGTTAGACAATTATTTTTCCTTACAATATTGGCAATAAAAACTGACAACTTGGATAAAATGAAGAGATCTTGTAAGAGAGAAAATATTTGGAACTTTTCCTTTCAAACATCTGGTTTGCTATCAATTTTGTAGCATCTTCCTGAAGTCTTCAAGTTGGAACATGCCACAGGTTTAGAACCACCCTACAGGGAAAAAGCAAGAAACAAATATTTGATTATAAAAAATTTTACCCATAAGAATTTTTACAAAAAACATTTTTGTTGTTTTCAAATATATAAAAAGATACATGATAATCAGCAGCAGATGTTAAACTGTGTAATAGGGTGAAACAGGTGTGCAAGAGAACAATGCTTTTAAAAAGAAAAAAAGGCATTGCTCTGCATCTCTAGATGTAAAAATTTCAAACTCCTCTTAGATTTATCTATGTGTAAGCAATACGGTCCAAGCATTTCACATTTGTGAGAAATAATTATTTTGCTCTACATCTGCATGAAAATGTACCCTACTTTATATTGTCACTATGTTAAGTGTTTCAAAAAGACCTCTGTAATGCTGAAAGTGTACATTTATGAAAACCAGATGGTACATTAAATGGAATTACCTGATATGTCTCACAGATTAACTGGATCAGATTATGTTCAGCTTTCCACTGGATTTCTTTGGTATGTACCTGTTTATTGAAGTTAAAAAGATTCACATCAAACTTCTTATAAAACATCACACCCATCAGCACACCTTTTCATCTCTAAGCACCATTATGTCACATGCTAACACAATAATATGTTCCCTAGACAATTCATATGAAAAATATATACACTGTATAGCACTATCAGCTGTATGATATACTGCACCTAATGAAGTGATGTTTCAGTCTAACACCTACCCCATTGAGAGTAACCCAAGGTACATATGTATGCCGAGGTCGTAGAGCATCTGTTCTGACTGCCATCTGGTGTTCCAAATCATTGCCCATCTTGCTAGTGGAACACTTCATAATCGGTGCAAGGTCAATGCCAAATTGAGAAGCACACTGAAATACAAACGTCATCCATTTATCACAGACACACAAGAACAGAACTCAATAATTGCACTATCTTGGAGCATCTTTTATTATTTCACGTATGTACATGTTATAACATAAGTATAATAATATACGTGGAAGGGCATAGTGTGTATGAAAAAGAGCTTGACCTACTAATTTACTTGTAGTTCAAAAATTATGCACCACACATTCAAGTATTACTACACCACAGGAACATTACATAGTTACCTATCTCCACATTTCTAAATGACAGTAATACAGATTAAAAGGGGTCAACTTGCTTAGTATATGGAAATTTAATGAACATTTCACTCAACTGTACCTTCTGTGCAGATTTGCTTGGCTGGCTGTCAGAAGAGTGCTCAATACAGTAGATAAATGGCATGTAAACACTTATATTTCCCAATATGCTTATTGCACAGGTCTGGAAAAATAAATATAATGTTAGCCATCTTATCATACTTCAAAAGTCAGTCATTTTTTGTTCATGTTTCCCAACTAATAATTCTTTCATTTTTGTACTGGTATGTGGACAATGTTTCTTGTCTGACTTGAAAGTATTTTCATATTAGTTATACATGTTAATTTGTTAAACCTACACTGCATGCTATAAGTATCAATTTGTTACCTTACAGCTGGCCCCATTTGAAACTAAACACAATAAAGTTAATTTTAATAGGTTAATTCAAATAGTGTATATAGTTTATGTTACCTCAATTACATTGCCAATGCACTCTTGTTTTCCATGTTGGCAATCAAATACCCATTGGTCTCCTATTTTCTGTTCCTTAAATAAAATGAGAGTGTGTATATAATATCAAGATCGTTTGGAAAAAATTACACAGTATGCTTTATATTCAAGAAAAAATGAGGGATGTTGCCATGTTTTGATTTTTAAAAATGAAGAAAATAAAACTTTGCCAAGAAATGACTGATAAAGAGCTTTACAATGACATCTTCTCAACTTCACACTTCACACTTTCTAACTTGGCACACCCAACTGCAGACTGTAGCTGACTTCTGTCATGAATAATTTATGAAAGATACATGCATCACAACTGAGCATCAGACAGGTTCATGTACTTTGTCCTGCAATACACATAATTTGTTCACTTATTTGCCTTCCAACACTGTTCTTCTTACTGGCCAGTTCATTTCAACCAGGATATTCAGCTATGGCAGTTCATGTAACTGCAATGTATGTACTCATAATCATCTGAAATACTATATATACCAGTATATATATATAATTACATTCAATGCATACTAGAGGGTGACAATAGCTGCCTTTGTCTTTCTTCCTTTTTTTTATCAAGCATATCATTAAGCTACCACTTAATATCCTACCCTTGCATTTCCATATGGGATGAGGGTCAGGTTCATGATGCTACCCACAGATTTGAAGGCTTTGTACAGCTGTTGTTTGAAGAAATTCTTGCAGTCAGGACACAGAGATTCATAATACAGAGTAAAATTCACTGGTACATTGGCAGTATTTTGTATGTAATTTTTGCACTGTTGATAAACCTGTAAAAATTTGAAAACGGCTTGGGTTAAACAGAAAAGTATAACTGTACTCAGTAACTGCATGAATTAAGCAATTCTAACATATGACAAATACATGTAATTACATTCACTTTTGAGCTAATTATTTTTATAAGAATGACTATGCTCAGTTATTGAATAACACAAACTTGTGCTGTTTTCTTAATCTGTGATACGCCCCTAGCTTACAGTAACAGGCTAGGTCTAGCACATGTACTGTACTTAATGTTTTGTTGTTAAATGATATTGCTAGCAAATACAATAAACACGTTACCTGGCAAGTTTTTGCAACTTCCTCACTACTACACCACTGACTTGGAGGTATGTTGCAACCACTAACAACTGTAAATGCGACAAATAAGCAAAACGCAGCTATATTTTGCACAGGCATCTTGCCGTTTCAAGTGTTTATCAACAAAATTGCCGAGTCACATGATTTTCCGTATACCAAAGCAGACCACGTGACTTTCCAGGTCATTAGCTATTATTTACTACGCTATTTTTCAATTCTTAAAGTTCTCGTCACATGGGAACATATCATTAAAGCATCACCTTAAAAATTAACATTTATATAATATACATCTCTATAAAAAAAGGACACAGAAAACAGTAGTACTCGGCAGTATGACCTTCTGAAGGGAATTCTTGCAAGGTCACCATCTCGTTTTCGAGAAACATCAACTAATATGGAGACAGACTGGAAAACGTGTCTTCAAAAGGTGGCTGGAATTCTTCACGAAGTCGGATTTGAATCACATCCTTTTAAGGTAGATCAGTGATTTGAATCAAATATTTGGTCAAACAAGTTTACCTAGTTAATCATACATTTCTGCCTTTTAGAAGAGGATTGACTTAATTCTTTACTTGGTCCTGCTATTGCATTGGGGGGGGGGGGGGGGGGGATAGCACTGTGGTTGAGGGTGAATTTTTTTTCAAAAAATGAATAACTAGACCAATGGATAAATGAAATAAGGAAACAATAAAAATGTTTTTCGCTTGAATTAAACAATTCATTTATTTATTTATTTTCTTTCTTTGTTTCATTAATTATTTTTCTTTTACTTCAGTTGATTTAAATGCAACTTTTGATACGGGTTACAAGTTCCTGTTCTCAACAAATCTATTTATCCAACAGAGAGCGTACTAATTATTTTTAGAACTAAGACAACAATAATGCATTTATTTCATAATGTACATACTTTTTTCTCTGTCTTTAGATTGCCTGGTATAATATGAACATCAAACCCATATTCTACCTAGACTATGCTGAGGACACCCTAGCTGTTGTGATCATTAGTACTCCAGCCATGTATGAAAAAGCTTTCAAGCCATTTATTTGTAAGAGGGACTGTTTAGGAGTCAAAGACCCCATTGATGAGTGCATTGAACATTATTTTGCAAAAGTAAAAGAGGTTAGTTGTCATGTTTTCTTTTTTTTTAATATTTGTTTAGTTTATTGATATTACTTCATATTACATATGCAGAAATGGTTACTGCAATTTAATATTTGAATTGACTTTAAAAAAAATTTTTTTACATAAATATAGATCAATTATTAACAAGGAGCAAATCTGTAATGTCTGTGCTTTGATTCTTTTCTATATTTTCTTTCTTATCACTATGTATTAAAAATATTACTCACACATTGGAAAATGCCCAATGGGCATGCTTTATCCTGCAAAGCTTCCTACATTTCCTAATTCAAGCTCCAAAAACAATAAACTCCTTAAATAAAAGTTTGTCTGAAGCATACTAGTACCTATGTATAATGTCACCATTACCTTCTCTTCTTACATTTGTAGCACTCAATCAAGTTAGCAACCATAACATCTCTCAATTTAATTCGGGAAATAGAATCATCTGTATTATACACAATACAAGACCACAAGACAAAAATAATGTGCCATTTTCTTGTGTAATGAAGTGAAAACAAAGCCATCTTTGGTAAATGTATTGTGGATGTCAAGAAAGCGGAAAGCAGTTTTCGAAATGAATAGCCACACATATTTATAACTAAATTATTTAAATTAAGAATGAAATGCACTGTTTAAACTTGGTTTGGCCAGTGCATATTCCTTATTATTTCCCCCTCCCCAACATCGAGTCATCTCCATAATTTTTCACACCTTCACATCCTACAACACAGAAGAAGAATGTGTTAATTGAAAGGAGTAGAGCTTTGATAAGCATCTGAAGCAGAGAAATAGCCAACAACCTAAATGGAAAGACTTATAGTCAGTAAAACTGCATGATATTAAGAAAGAAAACATTATGAAAAATTTATTGTAGAAAAAAAATAATTGGGCTCTTTTCACTACATCCTACAAAATACCAATAGAATTGGAATGTTGGATCTCCAGAGCATCATTCTCATGTACATATCCCCAGTTTATTTCCTTTCCCTAGATAAAACTGTGTAATGGGGTTAGGTCTCTCTGCCACAGACAGAGAAAATTCTGTTTAATGTCCCTTACACAATTAAGTGCTTATTCATAATTTTAGTGCTAGTGGGTATAGGTGGCACTGGTCAAGCTATATTAGACAAAAGCAGTATATTAATTAGAAAAATGGGTACAATATTTTCACTGCCAAATTACATGCATGTTCTACACTTTGGCAGTCGTGCATTCACCATTAATATACGTCACTTAGATTTATTAAGCAGTCAAAGTGTGTTTAATATGAAGCGGATTGTGCTGACTGAGTGTTGATATTACTCTCCAGCCTTCATTTGATGTGCTAATGCTTGTAGCATTATTGAATGTGTTAAGCTGCAATTAAGTGATTAAATGCTGCACCAATAACTTGTGTAAACTAAATTGAGTTTTACTTAATTGATTTTACATCATTAAAAGCAATGGTGAACGATTCTGAGAAACATGCACTCTGCAAGCATATTGAATATTGCTTTGTGATGTGAGGACCATTGCAAATGACAGCCATGGTTAAGGAAATGTAAAACTGCCTGGCAAACATTTGCAGCCATCTGTCATGTTGGTTTGCTGGATATAATAAGAGGATGAGTGTATGTAGATCCTTCAACCTTGATCTCAACAAAAACTCATAATGAATGAAAAGGGGAATAATAACCATCAAGAACCAGTTTGAACAGTGAACAGAACTAAAATACTTTGTTGGGCTCAAGGAGTAAGAAAAAACCCACCTTTTGACCAGAAAAGCTCTGCTCTGAATCAAAAGTTGATGTAAGCTCTTTCTGGCCACAAGCCTGCTACAGTTTTAGTAAGTGACTCTGGAAGCCCATGGGAGTTGGGTTATAGTCTCATCACACTAATGAATAATGAAAATGGGCAGTGTTAATTGTTTTGTCACATGTGTGAATTTTAGGCATTTCCCGAGAATGAAGTTATCTCCATCCATGACTATGAGCTACATGGTGGAACCAGGCGCCCCAAAGTTCTTGTCCAGACAGCTGCCCACGTGGCTGGAGCAGCAAGGTATTACCAGAGGTCAGACCTGACCACTGACCCATGGGAGGAGAAAAAGGTATACAATACGGGATGATTAGGATCACTAGAATTTTTTTCATCTGGCTTGTGTTGTTTTATCTTTGAATGTTATTTTTACTTGATATGATTTTAATAAACTGTGGGATTCTGTTTCCAGCATTTGTTTGAAATTTATATTTTCCCTAATTAATGTAAATACCATAAGAAGAGTCTTTTTCATTGTGCAATTTTCCAATGCTTTCCCCAATCCTGGAAAATACCCTAAAGCAGTTTTTAAAGTGAAAATATATACTGTGCAAATTATCTCCTATTTCAGAAAATCTTTGGAGTCAGTGTGCACCCCAAGTATGGTGGATGGTTTGCAATTCGAGGAGTGCTAATTTTCAAGGATGTTCTGTGCAGTGATCTGCAGAGAAAAGAACCTCCAGATGTGGTTCCAACAGATGAATTGAAAAAAGAATTACTAGAAAGATATAATTTTCACTGGCAGGACTGGAGCTTTAGGGACATTATTCCTGTTGAAAATAGATATTCAGAAGAACAGAAAACTTACTTTTCAACATTACCAAAGGATAGACTCCAGCTTTTAAATAGTCTTAAGTCTGATGCATCAAATATTGATAACACACTTTAGAATTATTGGTAACAAACTTAACTTTCATTATTATTACTCTTTTGTTTTATTTTATTTTAATTTTTGCCTCAATTTTGACATTTCTTTTATTTTTCTTATATACTAGTAGGTTTATTTGTATTAGGCATCTACATATTAATTTTATGTTTTAAATTATTTTGATGCCTTATTGATGTTTATTGATGTTTATTGATATTTTTCTATTTATTTGATCATTATTTATAATCTTGCAATAGTGTATACAGGTTATGTGGATAGGACAGATGTGGGAAATAAGAGATGATATTTATAAATCTGACATTTACAGACATGCAGATTCATGTTAACGTAAAATTATACAAATATAATGATGTTGATGACTGTTTGAATACAGAAAGGCTGTTTTTTGGCCATAAAAGAATCTTTGAATACAGTCAAACCAGAATAACAACATAAAATGTATACGTGTAATAGTATACTTGTATGAAAACATTCATTCTAAGAAAAACTGAAATTACTTTATTATGGATGTTATTTCATGGAACAGGTACATATTTTTCTAACTAAATTTACTTATATACAAAGTACGACACATTTTCAAAATTTAACTCGAAGTTAAAACATAGCGTTTCTATACTTTTTTTACTAGGGCTACAGTTTGATTTTTTAATACTAGATATTCACAGATATGTATCTGGCTAATTCTCGACAATTTTCTGCCCAGCGAAAATTTCAGTAGGGAATAATTGTCATCACTCAGATGGCATCGTTTCTGTGCCAACACAGTTAATCAGATATGACAGCAAACAAGTAAGTGAGCTCTTTTGGTTACTGAATCTTGTTTGGGCCCTTATTTCTGGAATGCCTTTAATGTGGAATTATGAAATAAAACTTGCCACGGTAAGAATAACGCAAGTATTGTCGAGGTATTCCTGTCCGGAGATTGCCGTGCAAAATGTATGTCATTTTACTTCCCAGCAGCGTATTTCGTTACTAACTCTCGTAATTTGTCACGGTTAGCCCCGGCCATTTCGTCTACCTGAAATATAAGTAACATAGAGCATAAGAATAAGATGGCCTTATGAGCTTTACACAAAGAAGGACTTTCAAAACGTCAATTATTATTATTACTGGAGCAATTGCTTGCACCCAGTAAAGTCCCCTTTACGTTGGACGGCGTCCTTTATGTGTCCCGTAGTACGACGCCGTTTGAGAGTAAAAAAAAAAAAACTTATTCCATAGCTACTGTAATTAAGCCCCCTTTAGCAGGCCAGCAGGCTAACCATTGAGTATTCATTTTGCAAGCAAAACGATGCTATGCTTGTGCCTCCTTTCTACGACCACAGCGATGCCAGTTTCATGGTCGCGCAAGGGAGGCAGAAAGGACGCCGTCCAGTGTAAAGGGGGCTAAATTACAGTAGCCATGGAATCAGAAATTTTCTGCGTGTTTCGATCCCATAAAAAGTTTATGACATTTTGAATGTCTGTGAGATCCTTCTTTTATTTTTTACATTGCTAGTACTTATACCATATATCTAGTAACAATATAGGTATTTTGTATTTGCATTTTCCCGGACGTGGTACCTTTGATGACTTGTCCCAATATTGAACTTCCTCAAACACAAACATCACATCACCGTTTTCGGGACCGTTTTCAGGAAATTCGTTTTTAAGAGACGGTCCTTGAGAAAGGCACGGGGGACGCTGATATGTTATGATGGCATGGTATGTTTAAATATTTAAACTTTAATATTCTAAAAATTGAAACCATCGATAGCCGAGACTACGCAGAAAGCGGTATACAGAAAGAAGATTTTTAGCAACATGTGGAAAATGCTTTAATGAACTGACAATGGTATATAAGAGGATTGTATCGAAAATGCGATTAACCATTAGTTGTTGCCTGGAAAAATTCGCGTCAATGATTCGGCTTTGTGCTTTCTGTTGACATTCGATAAGTAGAAGATGCGTTTATTCTCTGTTGATTAAAAGGGATGAGTACTCGTAAGCTTGTAACCTCGAAACTAATAACAGCACTTCCATCATTTAGTATAAACGATACTTTATGCCGTCGTCCCTGGGAAATTGAACAGACTTACTTAACTTACCTTCTTGCCTTTCTTATAGAAATACAACGTTGGCATCACCTCGATGCCTTCTTGCTCAGCAAATTCCTAGAAAATATTAATATAGCCTTATAATAGACGGCCAATGACACCTATCTTGTGGAATAATTTAAGGGGTTATTTTAAGGTCTAATGTACGACAAAAGTGTGAAGTCCCAATACATGCTCTTCTGAAACCACGGAGGTGGAGATAAGGATACAAAAAAGTTCGATTCACAATGCTTGACAGATATATATATATATATACACGCAGTTTAAAGGTGTTTGAAGATAAGGGCAGTATTGACCCCTGTGGTTCTGCCAAGTAGCTATAATGGTTCCTGCAGTGTCGTAGCTTGGGCTTAGTTCAAATATTCTTGTTGGCTGTAAATCGATTTTAATGAGCTCGTTATTGGTGCTGACTTGGTCATACCTGCACGAGGTGTAATATATTTCTAGTTATAAGTATCATTATTTTGAAAATCACTGGTGCACGAGAAAGCTGCTCTCTTTTTTATTGCCGTTTCGAAATTAGTTTTACAGACATACTCACCCCATACTCGTCGACGTCCACCTTGACAAACTTTACGTGTGGAAATTCTTGTTCGAGTTTCTGAAACATAAACAGAAATGTTCATATATCTGGAAAGTAAAATACATGTATTTAAGTGTTTGATTATATATTCGTGGAATTCAGATTCAATGTGCAGTCAAACACCATATATGGTCAATGATTCATGACTAGTGGTAGGCCATTAACCAATTTTATAGGGATTAAAAACCCAAATTATCGTTCGAAGATATTACTTCAGTATGCAGTAAAAGCAAGAAGATACGAATAACGGCTTTAACTTCAAGTTAAATGTCACTCCTTTCTGTACAAAAGAGTTGGTACCGTTGCGCACTGAACCTTGTTCAGGGCCGGGGAGCGTTTCACGTGCATCATAAATTCTATTCTGCGACAGCAGGCAAAAAGGGGTGTATTTGCCTGTACATTGACCAAGTCGTGGCATAGTCTTTCACCGGTAACGTGGAAAGAATACACCAATACTGTAATGTGTTTACCTCTAGGAAGGGACCGATCACACGGCATGGGCCACACCAAGTGGCATAGAAGTCCACCACTACCAAGGTGTTCCCACTGGACTTGATGATGTCCATCAGCTGGCTCTGTGAGAAGAACACACGGTGCTTAAGATATCAGATTTAGGCCCGTCACCTTTATAGGTTCACGGATGAATGAGATAATGAAGAAATGAAGATGAATAAATGAATAGGTAAACGTGAACGTTTCGATATGCTTTCATTTAGTGTCTTTGTAAAAATTCAAAAACTTAAAATAATTTTGCACATTAGAATTAGTAATAGGTACATGTACATGACAGAGCGCTGTGAAAGGGTAGGCCTATCAGACGTATGAGTAGGTAATATTGATGATTGGCATTCGCAACAAGCGGTATGTCAAATACTGACATGTTCTCGTTATTAAAGCTGTTTTATCTTCTGGTAATGTTTTTGGCCAAATGCCAAATGCTTTTTAATCTCGGATATAGAATCAGCAATATCACCACTGTTATTCCTCTAGTACGCATATTGCAAGTCGTTCATTTTCTGTAAACCAAGGCGGTTGGATTTATTGCAAAATCCATCAAAGTAAGAAAGAATTTTTAAAACAATGACGTCACGACCATCATACTAAATATAATGTCCAATTAATATAAAAGAGGAAACCCTAAACGACAAACACAAATCCTTGTATAAGTCTTATTCAAGTTATGATGTTTGATATTGACAGTTTACAGAGGCGCAGCGATTGCCATTTTCTGTAACCTATTTTAATGAGTTTGTTTTTGGTTATGGTAACCTTTTTATGGCCATGCTGACCGTGTATAAATGAACTCCAACACAAAGGCATAGTAAATAACAGGCTGAAAATAAAGATAATACTATTTATTATAATACGATCTAAGCCAAGGTTGGAGAAATCAATATTGTTTCCACCTGCGTGGGGACTGATGTCTGCTTATTATAATATATTGCGGCAACTCCTGGAACACAGACACAATTGCAACAACAACAACAATTCTATAGGCCTACCATTATTTAATTCGCTGAACAGGTTGCACTGATCCAGGGCCCAACAAATAGGGATTCCACAAAAACATCATTTCTTTTGTAAAAAATACGATGTTATTCTTTCTTCATTGTCATACCTGTCCCCTTCCTCTGGAAGTCATCATCAGGTTCAAGATGGCGTATTACGTTGTAAACCAGTGGCTTTCGAACAAAAGTAAGATCAAAGACGGTTTTGAAAACGCTTTACATTAAACAATACCAATAAAACAAAATCATGTCATTTAATCAATACGTGATAGACACGCAATCTTAAAAACAGAATTAGTTGACTTACTTCACATTCGATTTCAATCAGCATCTTTCTAGCTGGATCCTTAATATAGTGTTAATCAGTCAGAGTTAAAGTGATACGTGCTGTCTTCTTTGCAGCTAGCAGTGGAATCACACGGGCACGTCACATCCGTCTACTAGCCATCGCTCTCTGGGTTAATTTCCACATTTTATCTATCAGCTAAGCTTATTGGTTTGATTGAAGAGGTCGATATTGAAAGATAGATGAGCTTTGTTGCAGAATTGGGAGTAAACAGGACAATATTGTAATGCCGCCAACGTAACGAGGATTTACAATTGGCATTTTCAAAACGTGTTTCTGTTTATTTTTCTGCTTTTTTAATTTTTCATGTTTGTCATTTGTTGTGTGACGTACGTACATTGTGTGTTACATGTAGTATTTGTTGTCATATGATGTTAATAAGACAAGATTCCATGTGCATTGTATTCACATGTAAAATTTGCGTATAAATCTGATTTTAAAAGTTAATAAGTTGTCATCATGAGCGGTCTTTCATCGTGAGACTAGAGGTAAAATCAACGCTGTTTTTCTCTTTGCCTTACATTCTGGTTCCTTACGTTCTTTTTTCAGTGATTCTCACTTCCGTTAATGTTTCCAAAGCTAGTCTCAAAATGTGGTTCGGAAGTTATACACGTTATATACGTCATTGAGATTAGTTCATTGTGCAATGGAGTATTAATTTCCTCACTGGGAAACTAATTTGATATCAATTTTCCAAATATCTTCGTTTTTATTAATCCGATGGTAAACAAGCTTCTTACTTATTAAGCCTGATTTGTTAACAACTTGATAGCTACATTTCCGCCTCCGATGAATTTCACTTTGTTAGCTTCCACGTTTTATAATTCGTTTCCGAGAAGAGTAAAGGTCATCACTTCACTTGTTGTTCAGCTGTGTCCATTGTGTTAGCTGATCCACATGTTAGCTGGATGTGATCGTTGAGCAGAGCAGCTCACGGATATATCAGGCCTTCCAAGTAACTTAATCTATCTCCAAATTTGCCACGAAGAACACGACCAGGTGTCCCTTGCAGTATATATATATTAGAACTCCTACCTGTGAGGTAGTGATGAAAACTGAGCGGGGATATAATACTGGTATCTTAGAACAATATTGGAACAATTGCCTTAGAATAATATAAATACACGCTCGTCAATTTCACAAATCTGTGATGTTTCATCCACATTCATAGCGGATTATTCTGTTATGACAATTTGACCTTTTCATCTGTTTATAACATCTAGATATTTATTTTCAGCCAGCGAATGATCTACTTTTTCTTAATGACTGGATGTACCTGTTTCGATTTGAATTCGAAGGCGGAAATCGATCTCAGAGACGCCGTCCTATCTAGGACAAGTCTGTGTTTTTGATAAATTGTCCATAAATTCTCTTCCTTTTACATTCAGATAAAACTAAAATGCTGCCCATAAGTTATCCACAATTCTTTGAAAGGAATAATAAAAGACATCAAATTTGTTGGCCAACCGGTTTTTATTCACTGATTTTTGGATCCAAACTTCAGCATTGATTGTATATTTGATAATTTCATAGATACAAATAGTATAACCACAAACAACTCAGGTACGGAAAATGTACACGACTTGTATCAAAGTTTATAAAACGGACTGATATATGCAACTTGTTGGTACAAATTTGTATAATTCAATTGACGGACTACTGCATCGTAACAAATGAGCACTCTTTGTCTATAAGCTTACATTGAGGGTTAAAATGTTCTGGTTACGCATATGTAAAATTGGCACTTCCTTATGTCCAAGTAACGCCACCTGTGTTTCTCATCTGTTTTAGGACACGTCCACAAAAAGTCCCTTTTCTCGACCGCACACAAACCCTTAACCGGCCCAGGACGAGAGTAGGCGATTGTCATTAACTTCAGGTTGAAAGGAACAGGAGAGAAGATGCGCTGGGCTAACAACATAGTTAAAAAGGGAATATTAGTCCTGGATCCAGGAATTGTTTCAATGACAGTCGACTACCTCGTGGTGAGCAAGAACGAAACTTTTGTGTGGCAGACAGCGGCCCGTTTGTGATTTGTTCCCGTGAACCTAGCCTGTCCCCCCATGACCACACCGCCGCTCAGTTCCAGACACCAATGGGGCACACAAGTTTCATTTCTTCTGGGACTAAAACATTCCTACTGCACACGACAGGATCTGTAGTACCTGGTTATGTTATTTTTACAGTCCCTCCTCAAGAGTTGAACGTAGCCGTATTTCGAAGAGCTCGGCAATGTTACGCGACTAGGTCTGTCAGCACCATTTTGTACTTCTTTTACTCTTTTCATTTTTGAAAGACGCCGCCAACAGAGGTGAATCTTACACCTTGGAGGCGACGCGAGGTGGGCTGGTGTGGCGGTATTGGCTTCCCTGCCTCTCCCGATAGCTCCCGGGTGTATAGCGCGGAAGCGATGGGGACAAGGCCCGGGCCTCGTATCTCGGTCTGACAGACAGCAAATCGTCGTCGTTTCTTCCGGGGTTTCTCTCCCGGATGCGAGAAGCATAGTCTGAAAGCAGGCCAATGAAAGTGTCGCCGGACGCAATGCGACTTTCTAAACTTGATGTATTATCCACAGATTCTCGTTCTTTGCTAGCCGAGGGTGCAAATGAAGCTCTGTAGGTAGACTGGAAGTTGTCCGTGTTATCCGTGGCATAAGGAGGCACGGTGCTTCTTTGATACGAATAACGACTTCCTGGGTAATCAGAATCTCCTTGAGTATCTTCAACCACTGGAGTGTAGCGAGGAGTGTAACTCTTCCTAAGGTAGGAAGACGTGGCCGGTAGGTCTTCCGTGAGAGAGGGGTCTTCGGGGGATAGGGAGCGATGGCGATGGAGTGGTTTTGTCTCAGGTTCGTACTCAGTATACCCTTCACCTTCAGGTTCAAATGAATAGCCGATGTTCGGGCGATGAGCGTAGGCGCTCCCATAGCGATAAGACCCCTCGTCCTCTCTCTGGTCTATGTTGCCCGTTCCGTACCTCCTTGTGTAAGATCCAGGCACGTAGGTGCTGCCGTAGGAACTACCGTAGTGGGGCACGTAGGCGTCCGCAGAGCCAGTTGACTCGCGGTCAACTGAAGAAGATACTCGTGGATAGCGAGAGGAAAAACTGTCGGCGTACGTAGGGCGGTACCGCGACAAACTAGCTTCGTAGCTACGGTAGCGAGGGGGCTCGTACTCGGGCGTCTCCTCGCGGGAAATTGAACGTGACTTGGAGGTTTCCCTGCCATACCCGGCGAGTGCGGCTACTCTTGGGTATCGAGGGGGTGGCTCGTAATCCTCATCCTCGTCCTCGTCCTCGTAGTGATAACTGTGAGAAGTCTTGTGACCCCTAGTACCGGTCGGGCAAGTGCGTGAGATATCGGAGTCTGCTCTGTCTAGTTCGTTGTGTAGATTCCCAAGCAACTTCATCAATTGCTCTTGACACTTAACCAAGTTTCTTGCACCCGTTGTCTTCGCCCATATGTTTTCACTTCGAAGTTTTTCCTCGTCAAAAACTGGCTTTTCTGGGAAATTTGTTACAGTTACATAGTCTGTTGTAGTGGCAGAAACTTTTGGTAGGTTATCTTCTCCTGCAAAACGCACGTTTTGTTTTGTATCAGAGGTCTCAGATCCGGCTGGTTCTACTAGTTCTTCTGCTTTCACTTCTTGAGCTGCTTGCCCCTTTGCCTCTGATTCTACCTCCGACATTTGTGGCCCTGTTTCGACTTGGACATCGGGGACGGGTTCGACGTCATTTGCTGAATCAGTGGCAGGCGGTTCACCCGATGTTTCGTTTTGTGTTTCCGCGGTAACATCCTTGGGCGCGTCTGGTGCCACTGACTCGACCACTGCTTCTGCCGATTTTTCTTCCTTGGTGCCCTGTTCTGAATCCGCCATGCTGGCCGAGGAAGTGAAAGCCTCAGGTCTGCAAAATATTAAAATAAAATATTGACTCATCGTTGTCCACGAAGCCTTTTATTTATAGTAATGGAGTGAAAAAACCAAATTACAAATTGTTAAGTAGAATTTTCTTAAAATGTACAGAGCAGACAAAAACGTTATGGAAGCAACAAACACGTCAGTATTGACAAAATAGGTGTCAGTAATGCAATCATCAACACAAAATATCTATCTTCCAACTTTGCAATCATATAAGTTTATGCAAAAGGATTAATAATAAAAGCGAGTTAAAAGTTATTTGTCATTAACCTGTGTGTGTGTGTGTGTGTGTGTGTGTGTGAGAGAGAGAGAGAGAGAGAGTGATAGAGAGAGAGAGAGAGAGAGAGCATCAGAGAGTGATTATCTTATTCTTGAAGAACTAGTGTTCGTATCTGAACTCGCCCCTACGTTGCAAATATCCATTTTGGTTAAAGCGTTAAATGATAACAGTAACATGCACACCCATATAGTATATACACAAGCCAAACACTTCTCTCCCTAATCCGAATGTTGGCAAAGCCTTATGATCTATTACATAATTAGAAATAATATTGTGTCAAGTTTCCACACATTCTGCAATTGCCAGATTAACCAGCACAGCCCCTGCAATCAACTTAACACACTATTAACCAAACAAACGTTACTCAGGTTTACATATTTCACCTGTGTAAAAAGCACGTTTGAAAAAAGCCAGAGTATACAACATTACTTTAAGACCAAAAAACCTACGCATGCCTAAGAAACTTGCGTGAATTCTCAGCCTGAATACCATTCAGACAGATTGCGTAGGATAAAGAAAACTGACAGGCAGAAGTTGAGCAATGTGAAGCAAGGCATTCTCAACTTTAACTACGCGTACAGACATACTGTATGTGCAAAACATTGATTATGATGTCTTCCATCATGGGCTGTCATTCTGAAGAAATGATACAGAGCCAACTTAAAATTGTGTGTTTAAATATACCTCCCTTTAGAACATTAAATATAAATTCCAACATCTCTTCATTTAAGATATATTAATTGATTTACAAAAATATTATCAATCAACGCCAAATTATAAGCACTAAGAATACAAGTACATTTTACACCAGGGACTTTATATATAGAGACCCAGGGTTCGCACCTGTTTGACACATCAAAATCGTAAAAAAGCTGGTGGCTCAAAGTTGCAAGACACCAACGTATTTAGTTGCCCTCCCCTAGCTCTGTATATTTATATTGATGTATAAATATCTGTTGACTGCGCAAATGATGATATTTCAAGGTTTAAAACAGTTTATTTAGAGACATCTCCTGCTCTACCACACGTTTACCTTACATATTCCTGCACTGGGTCACCAGACTAAAAATGTCAAAGGGACTGAAGCGAATATTTCTGGACATTGGGATATGACAGGATCGCACAAAAGCCATCATCACATCAGCGAACAGTTTAAGAATAATGAAATCTTAAAATTTCCTGTATGTTCATAAACCTACTTACGAAGGTGTGTGTGTGTGGGTGGGGGTGGGGNTTCCAATTAATATTACTATTTTTCTATTTAAGATGCAGTTCAGAAACAGCAAAAATATATTACTATTTAATATCCTTAATGAATAGCATCTTTTAATTTCGTACGAAATAAAAAATTCATCATCGTTTCTGAATCGTTTTCTGTCTTTTGATGTATAGTACTTTTCCAAACAAAAAATAGACATCAGTTATCAGATTTGATATTAATGATATATAATTTTTGAAAAAAAACCTAGTACGATGGGTTAACCCATTTACGTGTAGTTGCTATGTTTTTAAAGAAATAAAGAAACCCTACAAAAAATCTTCTACCCAAAAACATTAAGACCTCTTGTCCGGGATTACACTGCATAGAGATGGACATCCACAGCGCGGTGACAGGTGCCCGTTACCCCGCCAGCGCTCATGGCACCCGTGTCCGGAGTAAACAAACAAAAACACATTAACAAGTAAATCAACTGAAAATAACTCATGCTCGATCAAACAAATATCAAGGTCTATTATGCCTAATCTGTGCTTATGTTTGCTATATCACTTCCAACGTCAAATTTAGAATCAAACAAAATTGATGTGGAGACACCATATTTGTCCATTAGTTTTTCTCTTGAGTTCACTAAGACTGCGAGAACGGACATTTAGATGCAGTTGGGTACGGCTAGGTTAGATTTTCAACTTCTAGTTGTTTGTAAATAGTATTTTTCTGAATGTATGAAGACGTTTTAATCTAATTTTGTTCGGCGGCAAATTCTGTGTACAAAGTCACCCGGAGACGAAGTACTCTATGACCGCAGTGTGTGCTGGTAGTCAGATACCAAATAATTGTGTGACATACTTAAATTTTGTATACTATTTTAAAACCCTTAATATCAGAGGGTACAGATGAAGTACAGTCCACACCTTTGTGGTGAGACCAACCACTTTTGCTTTGTAACAAAATACGCTGACATTTGTTATTTGACCACTTCTACATACTCATATGATGCTGGCATTTGAAAATTATTGATATACTCATAGTAGTCTTTCATTATTGAAATAAATGTCCACATTGCATATAAAGGGCGGATAGTTCTTCTGTAGCCATGAGGTCCAGTCTTGTCTAGTCGTTCAAGTTGATACTGCCATAAATTCATCGCTATTCTGAAAACCCCCGACCGCTTCCGAACGCACACCTTCAAGAAACAACTAGTTTAGTGTCTGAAACACCTGTGGTCATTGACCTTCACACCAACCCCGCTTATTACACCCACTGGAGACGTGTTAACATCGAATGAATGTGCACAGTTAAAAAGGTTAATATGCTTTAATGCTAACAGAACTGACAGAAGACCTTTTTTCTTTTCAATTGAATGGTATGTATTGAGACATCCTGACAAAAATAAAATAAAATAATTGTTAAGATTTTTTTCTCATCCTTCTATTTCATACACTGTAGTATCTCGCTGATGGCTTCATGGCACTGTATTTACTTACAGGGGATCTAAAAATGTACCAACGAGATTTTAAATCCAATATGTAAACTAAAAACGAATTTGTTGCGAAGCATCATGTTTTTACTTCTAGTCTCCTCTCGTGATAAGATTGATTCTTTGTTAAGTTCTCGACCTATAAAGCCGCTTTGGATGCCGAATCGGATTGTACATGTATGAAATATTCATTTTAAATGGGGGGGTCACCTATTAAAATTTTATTATTTTCATTAGTTTTTCAATGTGCACCTAAAATAATTTTGTTTCGAAGCAAGAGAGAGGGCACTGCTGCTTTCGGCAATATACACGTATAAACTTTGTCGCCAGTTCTTATATCGTCTTACTCAAGTTTCACATCAGTATTTCACAAGTGCGTCTATCACTCTGCTACGCATGCAGGGGCGGATCCAGGATTATTTGAAGGAGGGTGCAAAGCCGACCCCCCCCCCCTTTTGCGTGGGGGTCGGGGCCCGCTGAAGGGTCCCAAATTTTTTTGGTATTTTAGAGAGCGAACGGTGCCATTTGCTAGTTTAGAACTATGATTTAGCTAATCGAAATTCTAATTTGAAGAGGGGACCTGTGGTGTGATTTTTTCAGAAATCGAAGGGGGGGGGTCCTGACACCCCCTAACTCCGCCACTGACACCTATACACGACATACACAACATCCTGATGTGTGATACATGTATACACGAAGCACGGCAGAACATATCTGGATGCAAAGTCCTATAGAATCCCCACTTTTCTGCTATACAACCCTACTCTAAGAATAAAGATGCTGAATAGGCGTGATCAACAAGGCAGCACTCTTCATCGGGTGTATGGAAAAATATCCCGAACTTAATGCTGTACTAAAAGTTATCAGCTGTACATGCAGTAGATTTCACACAACACTAACTATTGGTATTTCATCTGCTTGACAGAAAGTTTGACCTAATAGCGTTCATATCATTCTTGCGGCATTCAAAACAAAATGGTATTCTAAATAAGGAATGCCCGGATAAATAAAGTGAAATGCAGCCTCTCGGAAGATGTGCTTGTTGACCGCTGCAGTGAGTCGATAATTATATTTTCTATCGAGAAAGGAAAATATTCCATGCGTGCGCGGGCGTGTGTGTGTGTGTGTGTGTGTGTGTCAGAGAAGAATTTCATCAGCTGCTGTGTAATAGTATAAAAGTAAAGTGATTTTTCTTCAATCAACAGCTACTATTGAAATTGTTACCTCCAATATCTACATGTCTGTCTACAGCATCTTCATGTGTGTGTGTGTGTGTGTGTGTGTGTGTGTGTGTGTGTTTTGTGCGCGTATGATGGGGCACTTTTAACCCCGGGAAATAGGGACCAGATCTTCTTTGGAATGTGACCCTGGTCAATATTCAATAATGCAATACTACGTTCAACACTAAGTTTACTGAACCATTGAATCTCTGAGAATCGACCTTGAACGAATAAAAGGACTGACTTGTATCTCAAGTTAGCATACCCTTGAAAAGAATAATTTCAGAAGTGATACTGATATAGATACAAAAATAAATTTTAAAGCCACTAACTGGACAAAGAGAAGGAAGAGTAGTGCAAAGTGCAAAGCATTTATGCAATTTTAATGGGGTCTAAGCAAAGGTTAGAAAAAAGAGGAACCGGCATCTACATGTATATAATTACAGAGGAGATTATTCATGAAAAATAGGAGGTTAACAGAAGAAAAAGGGTTGCAACAGGTAGAGGGAACATTTGTTTAACTGACGTGCAGATCAAAGGGGGCGATCTGACGAGTCGGGCATGTTTTCCGGATAAAGCAAATCAGATATAGATAATACATAGTTAACTACTCTAGAGTTTCCAGAGAGTTTCTCAAATTGCCAGCAATATTCCCAGAAACACGGTGGCCCCTGGGCTAGACGTGGGATCTAAGTCATAACAGACTATGAAATGATGATGATATCAATAATAATAATAATAATAATAATAATAATAATAATAATAATAATATTCACTTGCAAGCAATATTTGGATTCATTTATGGATATTTAAAACATCTATAATAATTTTTTCATAATTCAGTCCGATTTAGAAACATTATGGAATACATCGACAGGTAGGTAAATATATGTGTAAGGAATGTAATGTTGTTTACCTATGATATTTCATCTAAATAATTTGAAATAAAACGAATGCAAAACAGTTATATGTACATCTAGCATATATAGATTGTAAGAGAAAAGCTGAAAACCCATTTGCGATACCTCTATGGAAATAATGACGTTAAAATCCGGGGCTTAAAGTCCGTTAGACGTTACTATGTTAGGATTTTCCTACGCCTTGGCCCACCCTGTATTTGTAGGAGAAGACTGCACTTTGATCATGGACATAATTTATAAATATTCGCATTTAACCACCCTTCATTATGAACTATCCCTGTGCCGCAGATTTCTTGGTGTATCATTTGGTGAAGGCAGCAATTTGAAAGTACATTTTAAAATGGCTTTGATGCGTGATAATATATCAAATTGCTGTCGTTACCGTAATGAAAGTTTTTTTTTCGGGAAAACAATAATGAATACTCGCAAATAGCAACCTCTCGCACCTGGGTACTATGAATCAGCTAACAGGGCCTCGATACGCTACCTGTGCCTTGCCCAGTAACATCTACCGTATAACTAGTAGGGATGATAAAACTAATCAAAAATTGAAAAATGAGATTTTTACGGAGCTTTGTTAGTATCATATTAACTTTTTTTTATTTTCATTTAAGTTTTATTTTATGGAATTTTCACCGCGGTGAAAATAATTTTCACCGCGGTGGAAAATAATTTACACCGCGGTGGAAAATAATTTTCACCGCGGTGGTAATTCCTGGCCATCTCGGCCCGGGTGATGAATAGTTAATGAGAACCTTACATTTGCCAGATGCCGTCACGGTGCATACTATTGTTACATACACACAAGGTTGGAGGATCTGTTCGTGGGGCCACTGCCGTTAACTTAGGTTTCCCATCTATATTTACCACCTATATAATTAAAGACCCGCTTGCAGTTTTATGTAAAGGGAATCCCATTGTAATTACTAAATACTTAATGTTATTTTTGGACAATGTATTTTTAAATATTCGTGTGATGTGTTTGCCCATAGATCTTATCTTAATAGATGTAATCTCGGTTTCTTCGGAGAGGGTTCTTTCTACCAATATCCCCAATAATACGCAAGTTATTATAAAGGGAAAAACGACGTACAACATTGCAGCATTTCGGTGGTTTTTAATCTATTCGAATACTGCCCGCTTCCTCCACATTCCTGGGATGATTGGCACATAGACCGGTTAAACCGCGTGCATGTGCATGTGCTTGTCTTTATCAACTTCCTTCCCAGACATCTGGTAAATTTTGGATTCGCATATACTACATGTATGCATCACCCGGGCCGAGATAGCCAGGAATTACCACCGCGGTGAAAATTATTTTCCACCGCGGTGAAAATTATTTTCCACCGCGGTGTAAATTATTTTCACCGCGGTGAAAATAATTTTCACCGCGGTGAAAATTCCATAAAATAAAACTTAAATGAAAATAAAAAAAAAGTTAATATGATACTAACAAAGCTCCGTAGATTTTAGATAGCTAAATGAAACCGCTGCACCATTGCCGAGTTCGGGATTTTTTTTATAATATGCGATATTCCCATCTTCTCAGTTATTTTGGTATTGACAGCGGGATGAAATTCTAGCCCATGCCTGCCTCCCACTGGTTAGATCAATACTGCCAAGTTGTAAGTTGAACTGCGGCAGGTGTAAAACTTCCAGGCGTGCTAGATAGCTAGTTTTACATCCCCTACGTGTTGGCAAGAAAACAATTTCAGTTGTGCTTCAAAACCTATGTCTATTATGGCAATTATTAGTAACACATAATCGCTGAAATGAATTGATTTTTAGTCTGTATTTACCTATCTGTAGCCCTGCACGGAGATGACGGCAATGCCAGTCTTCCTGACCCACATAAAATGCCCTCACTCTCCCAGGTAAAGTACCCAACGGCTGGAGACTGAAGTGTTTGCTGGAGAGATTATAAGGATTACCTTCAAGAAAGAATGATGGTTTTATTTCCAATTGTAAAACTGCGGGCGCGCAGCCGACGAAAGGTTGTGAAATGAATTAATTGGGCCAGGTGGGAATATGGCGATTGTGCCTCGTCTGGAGGTTATATCACTCTGTACTTATTTACAAAGTAGTATGTAAATGCGTTATCTCTTTCGAATCACCGAGAGGATTGGGGAAATAAAGTGATAATAACCTCGCAGTAAAGGGTAAACTCAGATTGACCATACATCGTCCGTCTTGTTTAATTCTGATTTGCAGTACAACTATGTTAATAAAGCGTTTTAATTTTCTTTCAAAAGTTTCCCCTCGATATGCTTAAATAAAATTTCTCCAAATTGTATTACTTTAATCGAAATACTTTCAAGCAAATTTCACCTACTTTCTATCTGTTCTAGAGTAAGACCTGACCCAGCGCCATAGGCAACCAGTGAACTATGATAAATGAATTGGAATTCCAGGTGGGTGAAACGCACTAAAATCAAGAAGTTTATCATTAGAAGCAGGATGCACATAACCCGGTGCACTGAAAGAGGGAGAAGTCTCATTCAGCAGAATTATCAAGTTTTTCTAATACCGCATCGACGGAAATGGGCATGGCGTGAAAATGGCTATGGCGTGTGTAAAATCACTAAACCAACAGCCGCTCTGGATGATACACTTTCATGTCGTTTTATTTTGCAATAGAATATAAAGAAAGATAAAATAAAATAAAAATTACTTAAAATCAATTCGTTTTACCATTTCTGTTTTATTACCTCATGAAATGTACTTTTTGCGGCTGCCTTAGTTCAGAGTGCTATTTTGTTGTTTTCACATTTTATTAACATTTCAAAACTCTGCCAAGAAAATACTGGTAGTCAACGGAACTGTATAAAAAGTTCAATGCGGTGTTTTTATTCATCCATTATCTCATTATTTATCAAATTCCATCTATTAACTGCCCTTTTATTTTTTTTTATCTAAATCTTTATTTTATTTTTATTTTTTCAAATAACGCCTGTTTAAGTTTGCAATATGATTGGCTTGCAAAGGTGCTGATGTTTTATATAAAAAAAATCCTTCTGACTAGTAATTGCCTCAAATTCTGGTTCCGCCATAATATGGAGTGACTCATATTACCATTTTTTTAACTTCCAAAACATGCAGACGGCATTCTAATGGCAAATAATTATCTGTGTGAGGTGCCAAACAATCCTAAAAGTTAAGGTTGTTTAAAATGCATGAAAGGTGTTAGCCAAGTAACTCACTGATCACAGTATAAAAGGACGTGTGTTTGCATATATACCTGCATTGAAATTAAAAAGAAAGTCGCACGGCACAACGGTCCAATACTTGGTGATCGTTTTTAATTGAATTGCTTACAAAGTTCAAAGCCTTACACATTTAGGTAAGAAGAATTAGCAGTTCTCTCATGCATTTCCTCGAAAATCTTGGATAATCTTTTACAGTATTTCAGCCAATACAATATTTAACAACAGAGGTCCGGTGCAGTTTTCATATGTCCGGAAAAGCCGCGGTGTGACGATCCATTCCCTCTCATTCCTTACCCAGCCACGCACTTAGAGTGTGGGCTTCAGTGAATGTTTTAAATTGCCCTCCTGATAACATTAAGCCATCGTTAAACGAAACACGTACACGCATACACATTTTCTGCACCCAGTACCATTCTCTACCTTACCTACGTCAGGTATGTTTTTAATCTTCCTTCTTTCACAGAAATTTTGCCTAACTAAATCAACATCAGATATAGTGAGTCATTTACTTAGAAATTATGGAAGGCACTAACTTGCCAACGTGAAATCATTTTCAGAGCCTGCTTCAAATACTAGTTCTTCGGCGTAATCTAATTTTAATTTCATTGTATTTAAAGAAAGCACGCAGGTTCCATATTTGTTTTGCCTATATCTTTCACAGCACCGTCACATTGAAAATTCGTTCATATTAAGTTCTATAATATAATAAAGGTCCTAGATTCTACGGGTGTTCGATAGACATAAAGCCTAAAATAAGGTTGATTTAGCACAGTCCACCAAGAGCAGGCAATGGTTCCCAGTCCGCAATACACTTCCAAAAATAACAGGTAACTAAATCTAAGGGTACGGAGAGGTTAGCCTAAGTAAAATCTTACAATCTATGATAAATATGAATGTCCTGAATAAACACCTCATAAATTATACTTATATTAAGGAGGCCCTAGTAAACAAGGGGTTGTTTTACAATTTGTCAAGGTACTATTGCACATATGGCTAAAAATTAATATGTTAATATAACAATACTGAAATGGCATTAAAATTCCAAAGCCGTTAGTAGCAGAACCTCGGTGCCAGTGTGAGAATGTATGCTTGGCGAAAATACCTTTGTTTTCATACTAGATCTGATAAAACAGCCTTTATTATGAAAACACATGGTCGCCAACTTTCGCCAAGAAAGCAGTTCACAATCGCTGATAGAAAAACGCCAACACTGTGTTTTACGAATGCTGCATTCTAAGAGACTTACCCTAGGGTCATAGCATGCGACTTAAAATGCCCCTGCAGACACCATTTATAGAGCTTGAAGACTTTCTGCTCAAGGTTGCTTGGACGCTTGATGCAAAACCTTGATTGCTTTCACGCTTTCTGTCTGCAAATGTCAAAGATGCACGCCCAGTTCATTTGAGTTATTTCTAGTGAAAGAAAGATGAGAGGAGAGGTGACGGTAGAAAAAAGATTTAAAAGATCCACGGTTTTCCAGTCACTTACCTTGAAGCTCGCAGTAAGCACGTGCCTGAGCCCTCGCCCGCCTGTTGTCCGACTGCAAGTAACCGCAGATGGCAAGCACTCAGTCAGAGCAAGCAACTGCTATATTTAACAGCCTCACAGGTATTACTCTCCAGGTAGCATACTGGATCCTATTAAGTTTACCTTTAAAATGTCGGTTATCATTTATGTTACTAGTGAATGGTGCTTTATATAACGCCTGTAATGAATTAGACGTTCAAATAAGTTCAAGGAATTCTCATTTTTTACAATGCTTGCATTTAATGCATATTTACATATATCCAACAAAAATTTATTTTTCGAATACGCTTTTTGTTTTAATTTCCCTTTCGCAGGAGACATCAGTATAAAGCAATCAACAACAGCAGTTAACTAAAATATGACCTTTAATTTATATTTACTATTTATAAAGATGACATTTTAAGGCAAAGTTTTTTGTAAGAGATGTGCCATCAATTTTGATAACATTTTGTTATTAATAAACCTGAAAATACAAGTATGTTATTTCTCAAATGTGTTAGTTGAGCAGAAAACACATTTTTGCTCTACTCTTTGTTCGTTAGATTATTCACTCCGTCTTTAGCACCACCATGTTTTGGGTATCGAGATTACCCATCTTTTTTTTTCTTCTAAACACTTTTTCTCAGAGTTTTCTTCCCTTTGTTTGTTTATCTCAAACTTCCCAAGCGCAATAGATTGCGTCAATGAAAGATGCATGAGGTATGCGTGTTTGTGTTGACGGTTATACCGTTGTTGGCTTCACTGTCAGATCGCCTTCATAACTTGTTATGCTAATTCACTGAAAGTGTAATCTACTTTTTATCATTCACTATGTCATCGCGTAACTGAGTAACGGTGGCCATTCTATTTCTCCGGCATTGATTAATACTGTTAAGTTCACATTGAACAAGACTCAGTTCCTGTTCAATTAGCTGTAGATCGTGTCGCAGTCGACGATATTTTGAAAAAAGTTCTCTCTGTTCGTTTATCAGTTGGTGAAGGTATGTTCCTTGTCCACTTCTACCTGAAGGATGAATTGACCTGACTGGGGGTCCGGAGTCTCGGAGAAGTCCTGGCATTGTCTGAGTCCTCCGTGTAATCTGCGCTCCTAACCTGGAGGACATATGAATAAATGTGTAGGCCCTATTGCTTTTACAATACCATTATTCAGCATACTGAGCAATATGATAGGTACATTTGGTACTACAGCTCTTTGTAATATACTGTATATCAAACTCACCACCTACATCCTTGCGGAGGTAATTTTGATAAATGAGCCAATCTAACTCTGCACTTGCACGTGCATTGACAATGCCCTTGTTATCATTGCCGTTTACCGTTACTTTTGTTTGATACGAAGCACCCGACTCCTTTGACAATATTTTCTTTATATACATTCAACAATATCTGTTTCTGGTACTTTAGTACCCATAAAACTTACCCTTTCTTTTCTGTTTGCTTCCTTTCCTTTTCTCACTCACTGACACGGATGTGAAATCAATGTCTTTATTTCTCTTGCGTTACGCTTGCCTTTATTTCTCAATATTGAAAATCATATCATAAGTGGCATCAAATCAAGCTGCTCTCTTTGTGTTTAACTGTATGGAATGTATATTGAAACACCTGGATCAATGGATCACTGTGCGAAAAGAAATATTGAAAAATCGATCAAAAGTACATTATTAAGAAGGCTGGGTCATTGCCGCACATTATTAAACACGTGCACAATCATCTGATTACTCAGATCTAGATAGGGTAAAACGTGGAACACGTGACATTAATAAGTTGTTTCATTACGTTCTATGAAATGTTTCGTTTTGTTTAGTAAATATATGAATGAATTCGGATTTCCACCAATCCATTATGATCTAATAAAGTAAAGCAATCCTTTATCAGTTTATAGTTTATTTACATAGGCGTGTATTCAGTTGTTTAACTTTGCAATTTTAATTTAATTTTTAATTTTTTACATTAAATTTTGTAATCTTGTCAGTTAATGATAATACTGTGCTATTGGTGGTTTCCCCTATATGCATCAAACGAAGAGTCATACACATCTAGCAGACATCAATGGAATAAATATATAAACAGTATATAAATATTTATTGTTCACGCCACGTTGTAATACGAACATAGAATCAGTAGCACATTATATTTAAATCCCTTCACAATAAAAAAAGGTTCTAAATACTACATGTATGTAAAATATGTACTGTGTTATATGTATATATTTACACAGTGCTCACTATGAACGTGGACCAGGTAGTGCTAAATTAATTACCATATTTTCAAAAAGTTCATTACTGCCGTTCGGCTTACCAAAAGAATTTCAAATTCTCGGGTGCCCTTCTCCTTGGCAGAAAGTGCGGCACAGGTCCACAGGCATATGATGACCAAGCGCTTGTTAAAGGACTTATTTGGTTAATGTTGTAAACTCCTGCTTTAGAAGGTTGCCGATAGCTTGGAAGGACCTTGTAAGGCCTGACAAATGCCAAGTCCTTGGAGCTCCATGGTATTTTTCCATGCGCGTATCCCTGTGTACTTGACATGTTCGCATGGGTGACCGAGTTTTGGTTAATTTTTGTGTGCGGCAATTCGGTATACGGCCAATATTGAATTCTGTTTGAAGGGCATGGAACAACGTTTATTCGTGGAAGCCGACGATCTTGTTTTTCTACCCAATGTCCCTTTGAATCCAAAACCTCAGAATTGACTGAAGAATATCTTGAACTTTGTTGTGGCATATTCCGTTCCCGTATTTTCTGCTGCGCTATACCATTGCTCTGGAAGAGGTGTGTCACTTGCTGCTGGTTAGCATTCTGCTTCTGTGTATCTGGCCTGCAATAGAACACAAGTTATTTACGTAAATGACCCACAAACAACATTCATTTATTCATCTGATGTACAATCGGCACTTAAATTACTAATACTCCCTTTACACTGGACGGCGTCCTCTCTGCGTCCTTTCTGCGACCATAAAATTGCCATCGCTGTGGTCGTAATAAGGACGCACAAGCATTGATTTGGTTTTAGAATGAATGCTCAATGATCGGCCAGTTGTCGGCACGTAAAGTATTATTTTGTTTTTTTACTCTCAAACGGGGCCGTATTGCTGGACGTAGAAAGGACGCCGTCCAGTGTAAAGGGGGCTTAAATAGAATTACCTAACCCTTTTTCTAGGTGAATATGTATAGGCTTCTAAATTTGAAAATACTGACATACCCTCTGACTGCTTCCACTAAAATCTTCTCAATGCGTGCCGCATGGTCAAGGGCCTGTTGCCTGTGGATCACGTTGGCGGCATAGTTAAGATGCCATCGGAGCTGATTTTTGAACGTGAGCACGTTGTGGAGGAAGAGCGGGCCCTCTGCGTGTATTCCAGTAGACGTCAACACGTCCTCGACTTCCAGGTTGACGAAGCAGGTATTTAGGATCTTGTCCAAGTTGCCGATGTTAGACAGTGTAAAATAGTTGGGGTTGCGCCCTCCATCTTTCTGACTATCAGCTACCTTTCTCAAGTAGTCATCCCTGTTCCATACCTTGTCACCGATACGAAGCAATGTCATGTGGTCGTTTGAGACCAGAGCCGAGTGGATCCTTTGACTGTTCTTTCGTGCGAACCCCCAGAAAGTCCCCCGTTTGGGTACCTTGAGGGTGGTGTCCACTGTCAATACCATATACCCAAGATGCTGGGGTTCCAAAGGAGGCTTGCAGAAATGGCGCATGTTCACTGGATGAAGGGTTGGCATTAAAAGTGACTTTTTCTCGTTTGGTTGGATTATGTCCCGAAGTGATAACGCAGCGGCGGCGGTAAGGGCACCATGAACGGTAGTCCTCTCGCGCTTGCACTTGGCAAGCAGGGTCTCAGTATCAGTTTTAGAGAGGTTGAAAGCAACCATTCGTGTTTGGGATTTGACCGCTGGATTCTCTGTCACTAACGCCGGGTACCGCTCTAGGAAAAGGTTCTTGCCCGGCAGATAGTTCTTTTTAGCCATCCCGACTAATTTGAATACGTCCATGCAACGAAACACAGAGTCTCTTGGTGGAAGCTGATGTTTCATTGACAGGAGGAGCGGGAGTGGAGTCCAGTCGTCAATTTGTTTATTGGACATGGAGCAATCTGTCATCTCTACAAACTCCTGCAGAAGCCTAGCCACTGAAACCCCATCAGCAATGCTGTGATGGAAGGCGAAAAGCAGTGCCACCCTCTCATCATCATTGTCACTGCTATCCTTGGTGTTTGGGTTTGTTAGTCTTAAAAGTTTCACCCTCCACAAAGGTCCAGCTTCAGTGTTAAATTTTGTGCCTAAAAGCTCTTCATTGACAGCTTGCCAATCGTCAGTAGTGAAAACTTCAAAGTCAATTGAGTTCGTTTGCATCGGTTGAAATTGACGAGAATCGCCAGTGGAGTTAATCTTCATACGCAAAAGTGGGTGTCTTTTCTGTAAATTAAGAAGGACGTTCCTGACATCGTCCCCCTCCAGCATCCCTGACACTTTCAACATCAGCGAACACGTGAAGATGTAGTTGCCCACTGACTGGTGGGCATCCATGATGTCCTCGAATGTGCTAAGCGCTCGTCCACCATCTTCAGCAAGCGCCATCTTGATTCCCTAGCTGCTGGTCCCGCAAGATATCATGTAAAAAATTCGAAGCAACCTAGAAAATAATTGATATTGGTTGAAATGTATAGTTTTTTATATATGATCAAGAATGAGATATTGATTTTATCAGAGCAAGGGTAAAAAGGATTGACTTTTCAAGCAAGAATTGCAATATCATTGCGCATGAAAATGGCCTTCAAATTTGAAAAACTGATTGCAATTTTTTTCACAAATGAATAACAAAGGCGCTCTGTCGAACAAGTAGGGCATATTTTACAAAAAATGTAAGCGAGGAAAATGAAAGCAACTTATAAAATGTAACGATAAGATGTTCGGCGTGGAATTTTCTTTGCGGCAAAAAAGCTCAGTATGAATGTCTTAAGTTAATCATGTCTTTGATACATTTACCGTTAAGACCAACTTCCCTTCCATTGAAAGTACTGTATACAAACTTCTTTCATATCAACTTGAACTGTAGAATGTTGACCTATTCCATCTGCCAACATTTCTCAAGCTTATGCAGATTATCATTGTTATTATTGTGCATCTAGCTCTATGTACCGTGATATTTTACAAAACAATTTGTCGAGAGATTTCTTTTAAATTATCGAAATGAAATAGTGACATAAGTCGCGACGTAACATTGTTCACGCCGTGCGTTAAACAGCATCGGGGTTTTGAAACGGTTATGATATAGGCCATGCATGACGTTTGAAGAATTGCAATACAATTTCTGAAGAGTTTTATAGTAACTGCTTACTTTGTCCCAAAAAGGTAGACACGGTCGCCATCTTAAACCTAAATATGTCCTTTAAATTACTACCAAATTCTGACAAACCGTTTGTCTTTACAAGGAGATACTTAGATTGTCACAGGACATGTTTTAAAAGTAGAAACAAAAAAAGTTATCCATACACAAGAACGGACCCAGGGTTTTCATCGTGGGCAAAAGTCGATTAAAAATCCCACCTTAAAAGGGAGTTTGTTTTTTTCCTAAAAAAGTGAAATATGATTTATTCGAGAGGCTTCCGCTCAGTCCTCCGCACGCACTTTGAAGCCAACCCTAGTCTGAATGCTCGCACAGCATGGTGATGCATTTCTTGTTTCTTCGCTGTATTATGGCTATCGCACCGACCTGTTTTTCATATGAATTAGCTTTAATTTAAAGCTTAGAATAACCGCTGTTTGACAGTGTATTGGTATACAAAACTACAATTTAATTCAAATCAAACACAAATTATGCTCCAATTCCGCATCTTGTTTTGTGCCGAGAGAGCATAAACGTGGAAATTATTACCAAAGGCCATTGACTGGAATTTTTATGTTCTGTTCCTCCTGCTCCACTTCCTCTCTGTATCCTTTTGCTAAGAAAATGATATTTGAAATAAAATATGTTAGAGTGTGAAGTATTTTCCAGTTGTGCATTTTTTTCATTCCCTTTGGGGAGGGCGCTGTGCAGAATCCGCCATTTTGTACTATGGCAAAGGAGGACCGGATCACCGATATATCTATACTGTGCACAACATGGTAGCATACTAAAAGGCTTCCAGCTTTGTAACTATTACAAGTAGTATGGTATTTGTAAGTCTCCTATACAAGAACAATTCTTACGCTCAGATTATTTCAGATATAAAATTGCACCAACGCTGGAAATACCTGTATGTCAAAAAGAAAACCCTCAGTCTGTCTGGACGTCCAGAGGAGCCATTTTATTCCCAGCTTGACACTGCTAGCCCATTGAAGCCACTGAAAGACCGGCTTCACGCACGCCTGCTCTCTAACATGCACCGTTATCGAGCCCCATTGTGCCGTACATATTTTAGATATCATTTACAAATTGTGCACTTCTAAAATAAGTAAATATTCAAAGCTATGTGGTTTTCTTCTCTTATTTTTATGATAAGGGGCTTCCACTACGCGATTCCATGGCAACCACGATGAATTATAGGCGTGTTCAATTCATGATGATATTTTTAGAAATGGAAAGATACTTGCGGTATTTAAATGGTGAAAACATCATTTGTATCTGCAAATGAATTAGTAACGGTGTTAATTATTCAGACCACTAGCTGTATACTGATAACGTGCGTATAACGTACAAATTATGTGTGAACTTCTAAAGTTGAAGAAAACAAAAAGTCCTTGGAGACCAGTATGAAGATCCTTCCAGTGGATGTTTGGTTTTGAAAGCACTTTAAGTATTTCATTACGGAGTTTAATGTCCAATGGCAAAATATTTATTTTTCAAACATTGCTGCCATATATCTCAAAATATAACTTTCTTGCTTGCATTTGACGTATGGCAGGGAACAAATCGACAATGACTACACACCTTTTTTTGTCCAAATAAAAGTTTTTGTTTCCAAACAATCCGTAATTTTAGATGACAATCCTTATGCGAAGAAGAAATTTAAAGTAGAAAACGTCAAATAATTTGGAAACTTTTAATCAATATTTCTCCCAGAGATGCATATCCACTGATATACGGTAACCCGATAAAACTTCAAAGGGAAATGTGTCTTGCGTCAGTCAGGACTCCCCTGTTTTAAATCTGCGTGGCAATGCATTACAAAACTTTCGAGACACGTTTAGCGTCAACAGGTGTTGGATAAGTGACACAGCTTTGTCGCACCGATCTCGTGCCCATTGTCTGTCCTCACGCACGTTGGACAGATCACGCGAGAAACAGACGGCTCAGTCACCGATACCACGCTGTCGTGACTCCCTCTCGAAATATGATCGACCCCTTTCCAGTGTCGAGATTTTATAAAATGCCCATTATTTTGAGAGAAAGATTTTGATAAAATAGCCGCTGTCTTTTGATGAAATGTCGCGCTTTTTCGACAAAATGGGATTCGATCAAGCATGTAAAAATTTCCAAAGATAAAAAAAGACGAATGATACATGTAAGGTATAGAAACTTATTATCAGATGAGAAAAACATCATATTTGTTTACGCTTTTTGTTGATTATTCTAAAATGTCATTGTGACAAGTTTTGGTGCATTCTATACTCGCTACTTTTCACTGATAACTACTTTGAAATTTGAAAACAAAAAGCGATTTTTAATTTTTTTTCACATCTTGATTGCCTTTATTGACCTTATTATCTTTTAAAATCAACAAATTTTACCTTATGTGTTAATTTAAAATCGGTCTTGTTCTCAGTTATCTGTTAAAACAGCCCACAAAAATTAATATAATGATATTGTAAGTGTGGGAAAGAGGCTAGAAATCCGCAAAAATAGTAGTAAAATGAATTAATGATATGGCAGTTATAAAAATTAGCTTGGATTGCGCAAATGAGGATATAAGCAACAAACAAAGAGTTGATGGGAACTCTGAGACTAAGGTTGCAAATAATTTCTTTTTAAAGATCAAACAAACTGGTTTTCATTGCGGTGTTACAGGAACGCTTCTTTCTCCTCTACTTGTTGAAATAATACCTAGTTAAAACATCCCTTATCCCCCCTTCAGGGCAATGCTGGAGTAATGCAATCATACTTAGTTTGATTACGCAGAAAAAAAATCTTTCTTGCTATTTGACCCTCAATAAAGCTTTGTATTTTACATTGTGTCAATTATATTGATCTTCCTTTAGAGAAAAAGTACGGGAATGCATTTGTACACAAAGGCAACTGTGGCATTGTTTTGGTACTGGATGCGAGGACAGAGGCGCTCGCATTCCGCACTGCGTTCATTCGCACACTCGATTACACGGGAAGAAAGGCAAACGTAGAGCACTTCAGAAAATACACATCCACAAGATTTTCAGGGAGAAATCCGTGCCAGGTCAGATGGGGTCAATGATGATGATGATAATTGAGAAAAACAAATCTCGCCAGGATTTTCAACGCATTTTTTAAATCAAAGTTTTCAGTTTAGGCTGAAAATCTACTTTGATATTCGATACATTATTCTTCAACATATTACCTAGTTATTATCAATTTAATCTCTTTTATGTTATAACTCTTCTGATGAAAAAAAGTTGCAGAGCAGCTGCACGGATTGGGTTGTAAACAAGGTCTTGCACTCTATGCGCTATTGTATTTAGACGGAATACCGCAGTAAAGATGCTACCACACCAGATCACGCGGGTCAATGTTTTATAGGGACATTAAGCCGCCGATTTTAATGTCTCTACCCAGGCGTATAGTAAAGGCCACTTAAAGAAACCAAGTTGAATCAAGATAA